CTGGTGCAGTAGCCTGGCTGAAATCCTTGCCTTGCACTCCCTGAGATCCCATATGGGCGCCAGTTCAAATCCTGGCTGTTCTACTTCCCATCCTGCTCCCTGCTTGTGGCCTGGGAAATCAGTAGAGGATTCCCCAAAGCCTTTGGATCCTGCACCCACATGGGAGACCTGGAGCAAGCTCCTAGCTCCTGGCTTCAGATCAGCTCAGATCTGGCCATTGTGACCACTTGGGGAGTGAACCAGTGGATGGAAAATCGTTATCTCTGTTTCTCCTCCAAATCTGACTTTCCAATAAAAACAAAATCTTAAAAATTAAAAACCTTAATGCCTTTTGGTAACTGTGATTTAGCAACCATAACTATAAACTGTTTCAAAGGTAAAGATACAAATTAAGTTTAACTTAGCAAATCAAGGACATTTTTCAGTACTAAAATGAACATATGAGCTGAGAGGTCAAGGAGGGTTGGAGCGGCCAGGCTGCCTACAAGGGGAGGCAACTGTGTGGCTGGACTGCAGATACTAAGACCTACAGTCCCCAGGATGCTGCTGTGTTCTGAACGAAGCAGCTGACATCGGCTTGATGTGGATGGGACATGCTGCTGGGAGTTAGGGAAGTGGTGGGGAGACTGGGTAATGAAAAGGAACTTAGAGTTTATGCTGAAGATGACAGGAGCCACTGAAGAACAGCATTTTTCAGTTTGAGGCTGGAGAGAAATGAGGCCAAAAGGCAGAGCAAAACCTTTGAGTGGTCTTGATAATCATCCAGTGAAAAGAGAGAAGGCAAAAGGGGGCATCTGATAGAAAGATGTGGATGCCGAAGTCACAGGATCGTTAGGAAACAGATTGACTTGGGTTGAAGGGGTTTGCGTGGATTGGACGTCTGGGAACAATCCTGACTGCCACTTCTTAAAGGAGTGGCTCTGGGTAATTTAACCCAAATTTCAGCCTCTTCAGCTATAAAGTAGGGATAATAATTCTTGCTCTTTGAGACTACTAGGAATATTTGATGAAAAAGTGTATACAAAATGTTAGATGTTTAGTAAACATATGGTACACATTGTTTTTTTTTTTTAAACGAGAATGACTCCCAAGCACATGTTTTTTTTTTAAAGATTTATTTTTATTATTTTTTTAATTGGAAAGGCGGATATACAGAGAGGAGAGACAGAGAGGAAGATCTTCCGTCTGATTCATTCCCCAAGTGAGCGCAACGGCCGATGCTATGCCGATCTGAAGCCAGGAGCCTCTTCCACGCGGGTCTCCCACTTGGGTGCAGGGTCCCAAAGCTTTGGGCCGTCCTCGACTGCTTTCCCAGGCCACAAGCAGGGAGCTGGAAGGGAAGCCGGGCTGCTGGGATTAGAACCGGCGCCCATATGGGATCCCGGGCGTGCAAGGTGAGGACCTTAACCACTGCGCCACTGCGCCGGGCCCCCCAAGCACATTTTTTGACCTGGGTAACTGGCTACTTCTGTTTATCATAGTAGGGGTTACAGGAAGAAGAAAGGTGATGATCTAGGGTGGACCCAACTGTTCACCTAAGGACCTATAGTTGGCAGGAATGCAACGCAAGGGAAGCCTGGTCTGGAAATAGAGCTCTGGCAGTCATTTGGTAGTTCCAAATTCAGGCTGCTGAAAAAAATCTCGGGGTGAGGAATAGAAGGGAAATACACAGAGTGTCGGTTCGCTGGGCCCGTCATACAAGGTTCTGTAGCCTTGGTGCTTGAAACAACAGGATTTTATTTCTTCCCATTCTGGAAGGTGGAAGCCACGATCAAGGTGTCGCCAGGGTTGCTCGCTCCTACAGCCTTGGTCCTTGGCCTGCACAGGCCATCCTTTGCGTTTGTCTTTACGTGATTTTTCCTCAGCACATGTTAGAGGACAGATTTCCTCATAGAAGGATATAGACCTGTTGGACCTGTTGGACCTTGAACACCTCTTTTCAACTTTACTGCTACGTCAATGAGGAAGGTTAGGACAGCAACACACGAGTTTGAAAGTACTCAGTTCTGCATGTGACACAGAGAATACCAGAACAGACAGAGGAGGGGAGCTTGCAGGGAGAGACTGAGGGCGGTCCAGAGACGAAACAAGGAGGCAGTGAAAAGGGAGGGTGGGTCTTGCGGAGGGCAGAGTCAACCACAGAACTCCCAGATTCCATTTTTAATCATTGGTCCTAAATTGTTTAATTTTTAAAAATAACCTTCTACACATGTTTCCTAGGATTTGCTGCCTATTCATTTGTAAAAAGACTGTGAATCAATTGTATGAGGTTTTTGATGCCAGTAAGTACTGAATCTTCTTGCTACAGTATAAAAGCCCTAAAAAGAATGGCCTTAAAATTAAAATGTCTTTTGTCCAAGCAGATGAGACATCGTGACTAATCAGGTTTACCGGATGTTACAGTCTGCTATTTAAAGCTTCTCACCACCACTCATGTCATTACTAAATTATAAGTCTTGATAGTTATGCTCAAGAATTTTATTAGAAGGTTTAAGGTTTGATGAATTCTTTGAAGCCACTCTGCTGCAAACCTTGTCCTACACCCTCCCTGGATCCAGTTCATCACTAGACCTCTTGCTTCTTTAAATCCCAGGTCTGTCTACTGCTTTCAAATCCCACTGTTGTTGCTGTACACCATGAAAAGCCCTAGGACTACTCTGGTGGCCTTTAACTGGATTATCTGCTTCCATTCTTGCTCATTCTAGAGAAATCCTTGTCCCCCATTGTCTGTCCCACCTTCAAGAGAAAAACGGATTTGGAATAAAACCCAAACTCCCTAGCATCCTGTGCAAAGACCTGAGTGAGGAAGAAGGGCATGCCTGCTTTCCAACTCTCTTTTCACACTTGGCTCAGCTGGAATTTTTTTCTTTCTCCTTTCCTCTCCCCACCCCCCTTTCTTTGTCCTCCTCTTGTTTCTCACCCTCATCTCCCCTTTCTCTCCCTCGTCCTCCTTCCACTACCACCTGCTCTTCATCCCCTCCCCCTGTTCTGTCTCTATCCCATCCCACCTGTGAATTTGATATTCAGATAGTACTGTAGTCATCTGGTACCTTACCTAAACTACAGTGTCCATGATGGCTCATTCACATGGCTAGTTCTTTGGTGAGAACAGTTAGGATCAATGTTGCCACCTATTCATTCTCTCCTCTCTTCTCCTTCCCTTCATTCAGTGTCCTCTTATCTCTGTGTGGGCTTTTCAGCTGGATGATACTGGATGCTAGCTTGGCTTCCCAAGAATAGTAAAATGGAAGCTGCCAGGCCTCTTTAAAGCTGAGGTGTGGAGCTGTCACAGTGTCGGTTCTGCCTCATTCTCTTGGTTGAAGCCAGTCCCAGGACCAGCCCAGGTCCATGAGGAGTGTGTATTATTATCAGGAGGTGTGGTTATGGTTCAGCCAGGTCATCTTTGGAGCATACCTAACATAAGAATGTAAATCCTTTGTATTTATTACTGTAGTCAGCATGATCTTGTGCTTGTAGCTTAGGTTTGTTTGCTTCTCTTTCCTTTAATGAATATTCTTTTTGCTCCCATTTTATGAATTTATCAAAATTAAGATTTAAAAAAGACCATTTACCTCAATTTTGGTGAATAATACCTTCACCCTTATTTTAATTCCCCCTTTTACTCACATTTTATGTTTAGTTAATATCTGGAATTTTTGTCCATACTAAAACTAGTATGTGTAACATTTTCTTAAGCAGTTGTTTTCATTTTACTTTCTTAATATTCACCCAATAATTATTTAGATCCATTCTGCCTGGTTTCAGGGCATACTATTCTGTCTGTTTCTAGGGAATTTGGATTAATGATTAAATCAATTACAGCTTTAACTCATATTTCCAGGAACCATATGCAGATCATGGAACACTTGAGCTTCTTCAAATGTATGCTTTCCTTGACCCAGTTTGGTTGGGGATGAAAGTTTTTTTTTAAATAAAAGATTTATTCATTTGGGAAGGCAGATTTACAAAGAGAAAGAGAGACAGACAGATCTATCCGCTGCTTCACTCCTCAAGTGGCTATAATGGCCAGTGCTGAGCCGATCCAAAGCCAGGAGCCAGGAGCTCCTTTCAATCTCCTGTTTGGGTGCAGGGTCCCAAGGCTCTGGGCCATCCTGGACTGCTTTCCCAGGCCACAAGCAGGGAGCTGAAAGGGAAGTGAAGCAGCCGGGACTAGAACCTGCCCCCATATGGGATCCTGGGGTGTGCAAGGCGAGGACTTTAGCTTCTATGCCACTGCTGGGCTCTTTCACTGTTATTCTGTTATCTTTGGGAGCTAATGTTGAGGTTATTGCAAGGTGAAATCCTTTGCATGTCTGTATATATTTTGGGGGAGATGGTAAAATTGAGATTTTTCTTGCCAGGAAATAAATCCTGTGAGTGGAATTGGAGATGCCTGCATTTTTGTCGTCTTTTCAGCTCATCAAGTTTTCTGTGGGTATATTTATATCCTCTTCCATTTGCCATAGTTACGTCAACAGAAGTTACCAAGATCTCCTTGGGTGGATTTTAGTTCCTAAATCTGCATTTATTTTCTTACTCTGAGCTTTTTATACGTGTGCTCTTTTGCTCTACAGTGTAGGAAAATGCAAATGTGACTTGCTCATAATAAATTCCATTTTTCTGCCATGTTAATTTTATTTTTCAAGTTTCCTTGAAATCCTCTTATTGTAGTTCCTTTGCTTTCCTTCTCAGCATACTGACAGTGAATGGCTTGAGTAAACTGAAGCGAGTTACCAAGGCGTGCCCCCTGAGCTTACCTGTCGCCCTCACCCCACCTTCACCCCCCACCCTGGGGACACAGGGAGGAGGCCAGGGTGACCCTCACTGCGTGCCTTCCAGATGGTGATTGGAGTGCTGCACTGAGTCCTCACTCAGGGCCCCTTGTAAAATTCTAGTGTTTTCCCCGCACTCCCCCAAGGACTCTGTGACTTTTATTATTGGATGTTATTTTAAGAAACAATAGTATGTGAAAGTTGAGGACTTTTTCTTTTACTTTGCAGGCTGTTGGGAGACACTTCTGCACGTTCCTGGGCTCCTGAGGCAGTGCGCACGGTTGGGAGCTGTGCTGAGGGCCCCTCCTCGCCTGTGGGTTGGTGAGCACCAGAGGGCAGACACTCAGGGGCTCACAGCTTCTCTGGCCTCCCTGTCTGCTGAGCAGTGCCACGTGTGGTTGTCCTAAGAAAAGGTTGGAGACACAATCGTGTGGTATTTTTATAATGATAGTCTAGCTCTGCCTTTTCTTAAAACTGTGTTACTTCCTCTTTATTTTGTTCTCAAGTGTATGTCTTTGTTAACCCAGTCGTTCTTTTTGGAATGAGCTAGTGCACAAATTGGTCAGTGAAATCCTCGGGTATTTTTCAAGATCTTTTTGGTCCCCTCTTACTGCTTTGCTTTTGGTTTTGCTGTCTGCCTCAGAAGCCTCCCCTCCCCCAGGCCACAGGCCTTTCTGTCCCCACAAGGTCATTGCCTCCTCTCCCCCAGGCTGTGGGCCTCTCTTTTCCCACAGGTGCTTCTGTAGCCTGCCACCTACAGAGTCGAGCCCTAGCAGGTCGAGGTGGAGGGCCTTGGCAGTAACCGCATCCTGGTCCTCGTTTCCAGACCCTGTGACTTCTCATACATCTGCAGCTCTCATTTCTCCCTGCTTTGCCATTTGCACAGACAGGAAGCCTTTCTACTTGTTCACCTTTCTCTGCTCAGGGTGAACTTCCTCTGTGAAACCTTCTCTGATCGCCTCCTTTGGGCCGACCACTTCCTTCATGGGCGTCGCTTCAGCTCTCAGTGCACCTGTCTAGCAGCACTAACCCGACTGCTGCACCCTTGCAAATAAGGAAAGTTCACCCCTTGCTGAAGATGCTTCACAGTACTTGCAGTGTTGGCAAACAGACTGATACAAGTGGGAATCTGTGGCTTCTGCCAGGTGCATGAAACCCAGCTAGGGTTCTGTGGTGCGTGGCTGTGCAGCTGTGCTTGGGCTCCTGTCTGTGTTGCTGTTAGCATTTACTTTTCTGTGTTTCCCCTGAGGACCAAGGAGAACAGTCTGGACTTGGTATTTTCATTTTCTCTTTCTGACCACTTTAGGGTCTCTGTCACCATTTGCTAAACAAAAGAATGAAGGTATACTTGTCTGGAGAAAATGGCAAGAAAGGCATGCCTGTCAAATATATTAACAATATATGCAATATATGCTGAGATTTTTTTTTCCACATTTCTATATTAGGACAATCTCTAGTCAATGGACCGTGGTGGTTGAGCACATTGAGGCTGCAGCCAGTCCCCTGGTGTTTGGCCCCTGTTTCCTGTTCCCACTTACTAATGTGAGATTGGGCAGGCTAGCTCTCAGAAAACATGCAGAGGATAATAATAGTTAACGTGGAGGCTGTTATGAGAATTAGGTGAATTGTCCTATATAAAATGCTTAGACTAGTACTAGTCTCTGAAGGCAAGGGACTGGTAGCTGTTATCAGTATTGTTTAAGTTTACCATATTGCTGAAAGCCTACTTGTAAACTATGAGCTACAACTTCTATCCTTAGCATCTTGTTTCTGTGGGCATAGCCTCGTGCTGATTGGCCCCTCCCCGGGCTACACCCATCTTCTGTTGCTGCAACAAGAAGTGCACAGTGCACAGACAGGAAACCAGCAAGCTTTGCTTTTTCTTCCAAATTTGGCAGAAAAGAAGGGAAAAGTAGGCCCTGTTACAGACAGCACTTGCTGGAGAATTAAATTTAACTTCTTACTCATATTTTCTGAAAGCTTGGTTTGGTGATAAATCTTGGTTGCATGAAATTAAAAAACAGGGAGAAATATGTTTGAAAAAATTATTTTAATGTAAAATATTTTCTTCTTCATTGCAGGTCGTTCTCCTTTGATGATTCTCAAGACAGTTGTGCTAGACAGTGGCAACAGGTAATAGAGTGTTTTGGGGCCCAGGTCGTCTTTAGAACCTGCCGGGCCATTCTCAGATGGCGCAGTCGCTGACTGTCACTGCCTGAATGGCTGTGGCTTCGCCTGCTCTTCAGAGGAGCCAGGGAATGGCTGCTCTGTATCATTTCGGGACTTAGTTTTCCCCTGTGTCCCATGCTGCCTGAGTGGCTGTAGCATTGTGGGAAGCTCTGCCTCACTCAGCTTGCCCCGCCCTGGTGAGTTTATGCTGTCTGCAGATTAAGCCAGACCTGACTAATACATTCCTTGGAGATGCTCTGATCATTTTTATTAGGAAAACTACATAGCTTTTCCCAGATCACATTACTGTAATTGACTTTACACTCAATGCTGACAAGTATTTGTGCCTATGGGAAAGCTGCAGTCAAGTGGGAAACTCTCACTTCCGTTGCATTTTTTTTGTTTTGTTTTTTTCAGATTCCAGCAGCCTTTTCATAGTTGTACAGAACAGTGTATAACTACAAAATACAAAGATGTTATAAAACTTCACTCTCCTAATTGTTAATTCACCAAAGCTCTCCATCAGCCTAAATATTTCTACATAGAACTAGTTAATTTTTATGCAGAAGTATATTTGTTATTTTTCAGAAAATGTATCCACATGATGAGCTGTCTCCAGTGGGGCTTCTGTCCTCTGGTTTTCCTTCCAGAAGGCAGAAACAGAGGTGGCAGGTGTGTGCTTTCTTGGTGGCCTCCGTCTGACCCGGCAGGAGATCTACCCTGCTCAGCTCAGCTCTGTGCTGAGACACCGCTGCCTCTTTAGTGCCCTGAGGTTACTTTATTTCTTTTTTTTTTTTTTTTTTCCAAATTTGAAGGACACAGAAAAGGCAGAGTGATAGAAGGAAAGAAAGATCTTCCATTCACTAATTCACTCTCCAAATGGCTGGGATGGCTGAGGCCCAGCCAGGCCAAAGCCAGGAGCCGAGAGCTTCTTCCAGGTCTCCCCATGTGGGTACAGGGGCTCAAGCATTTGGACCTTCCTCTGGTGCCTTCCCAGGCACATTAGCAGAGAGCTGAATCCCAAGTGGAACAGCTAGGACTAGAGCTGGTGCCTGTATAGGATATTGGCATCACAGGCCATGGCTTTACAGGTGACACCACGATGGCCCCAAAGGCCTTGTTTCCTAAAGAAGTACAATTGAAATAAATTATTCTGGAGCCATCCTCTTCCTTTTGGGAAGAAATATCCACAAAGAGCAGTTCACCAAGTCTCACCCAAAGACATCCTCATGGTCACAGCACACTGAAACCCCACAGAAAGAATGTAGCCCACATATGTTTTGGGTTAGGTCTTTTATGATTTTCCACAAAAAAATTGATTGATGGCACTTCTTGAAAAACTGAAAGTACATTGAGACTTAACACTCATGGCTGCACTCAGCTGGAGCCAGTCGAAGCTGCCTCCGCAGCCAGGCTGTGTGTTCTTCACTTTGCTCAGCCTGTTCTTGGTTATGTGACCTATTTGGTTCTCTGGACATTTGATTGAGACCCCTATTTTGTTCTGTCCTGCCCCTTGGCCAGAGTCTTACCCTGTTTTATGGCTGGATAACTTAATGCCTTCCCAACAGAAGCCCAGGCCGGTGTGAGCAGTAGTTAAGTGGCCACCCTGCAGGAGGAGATTTGGTGTCATGAAGACCCAGGGTGAATGTGGTGTGTGCTGTATTTGCCGAGCTGGCACCATGCCATCTCTTTATTCAGCCTGAAAGTCATAACCAAAGTTTCTTCATCTGTGGGGTGGAGTGGGGTGCTTTTTAAGTTATGAAAGAAAGCAGCCAGTGACAGCTCTGGCCCATTCACAGGCTTGTAAGACCAGCTATTGCCACAAAAGGAGACGCTTCCTGTTTACCAGTTGGCCTGAGTCAAAGTGGTTGTACTTCCTGGCTGTGCTGGGGTTTTTTGGCATACAGGCCAGGTTCTGTCTTTCAGATTGGTGGGAGTGAATGCTTGCTCTGTACTTGCTTGGTTGGGGGTGGCAGAAGCCCCCTCCCCCTCCAGCCTGTATCCTGGATGCAGGCCACCCTTGGGAGGGCACCCTCGGGAGGGCACTCCCTTTGGCTCCAGAAGCAGCCCTGGCCACTGGAGAGGGAGCCAAAGCGGGAGGGCAGGTTTGGCTCCTTGCCGGCTTGCTCCTCAGCAATCCTTTCCCAGTGACACCCCAGTCCAGGCACAGGCCCTGGGTGTGAAACTGAATTTGACAATAAATTTGTGTCTCGTTTTTTAAGTCTCCAGGAAGCGGGATGTCAGAGCCTCTGGGAAAAATGCTGCTCCTTTCTGGCGCGATGATTGCTGGAGTCGTTCCCCTCGTGTATTACGGTATACAGAGTGAGTGTCCCACTCTTCCTTCCAGCTAAGGATATGCTTGAGATGCTCTCAGACGATTAGAGACAGGAAAGGGCCATGAGAAGCCAGTCCACCATTCCTTTGACTCTAGCTTCCTCCTTATCCTGCAATCCCAGCTTTGCAGGAGCCACCAGTACAAGCAGAAGGATGAGGAGCAGTCATTTGGTGAGGCTTGCCAAGCAAGATGGGCTTGTACGCGAGTGCACCCACAGGAGCTCCATTGGGATTTCTCTGATCCTGTAAAGGGGTGCAGACAGGGGGGCTACCAGCTGCTTCACAGGTGATGAAGGCTTACTGTCGCTTGAGTGTTGGCAGCCGCTCTGCCCTGCCTTTCTCACCTGCTCATGTGCCAGGGGAGGGAACCTTGAATAAGAGCTCAGGCAAGAGTAGACAATGAAAGCCAAGGTCAGAATGGCAGAATCCTGACAGATGTGGCCTTCAGCACACTGCTGTCAGGTTCGAATTGGTCAGGACAGGCTGTGTTTACTGTCTGAAGAGCCTTTCAATGCTATAGGCAGCAGAGCAACAGAGGTAAATGACTGCCAGCCTTTGTCAGTCCGCCTGACTTGGTTCCTCCCACTGACTCTGCAGCATGCCTGCTGCTTCCTTCTTCCTGGGATGAGAGAGAAGGTTGCCAGCAGATAGCCAACAGAGCAGTGCCCTCCCCACTGGCTGCTCACCTTCCTGCTGAGTTGGCTGGGAGTTCCCTGAGTCTGGAGATAGTCTTAGATGAGTGTTCCCTGGGAAAGTTGACACGAGAATGACTCGGCCTCCTCTGTCCTCAGCCAAAGGGACTGGGGTAGAACAGGATAGGCATGGGTGCTGTTTTGAACCAGGGCTCTGCCTTCTGTTCTGTCAGCCTCTTGTTGCTGGTTGGCTAGAGTTGGTTAACAGAACCCTGCTGATGGGGCAAGGCCAGGGCCTTGCAGCCAAGCTGCTGCTCTTGATTAGCCTTGTGGTCTCGTGAGGAAGTCTTTCACCTTCCTCTGTCACCTTTTCCTTGTCTGTGATGAGGGGGCATGTGAGCGCCCTGGGGTAAAGCTGTTTTGAGAATTAAATGAATCTGACAATGTATGACCTGTTGTCATGTTGGAAATTGTGGTAAGTATTGAGAACCATGCCTGGCCATAGATACCACTCAGTAAAGATGAGCTGAGTAGGCCCAGTTTCTGCCCACTTCCTTTACGCCGTAGCTGAGCTTGTGCTGCAGCCCCACTCCAGGGAAGCAGAGCTCGGGAGGGAGAGCACTACCCTGGACCTCCAGCCTTCCTACAAGAAGGAGACTGCCAGACCAAACACCCTGCTTGGGAAGTCTCCCTTTACTCCTTGCCTAGGACCTCCTGAGAAGTACTTTCCAGTTCCCAGTGACCTTGGGGCTGAGGTTCCTGAGACTGAAAGCAATTCTGCTTAAGATGTTAGCTTCAATTTCTACATGTGACAAATAAGCATTTTCATGTCCCACTTGTTTGTCGAAGGGTTTTGTTAATGATTTTGTGATCTCTCTGTGCCTCATCTTAGTGGCAGGAGAGGTGGTTACACATCAGGTATCTGGTACTTTGGGCTTCAAGGACGGAAATTTTAGTTGTGTGGTCAGTCCCTCTTTGTTTCTTCCATCCACAAATGTCACAGTTCTGTTTCCATCCAGTGTACCAATTGTTTAATTTCAATTTCTGTGAAGATTCTACCTGATAAGTTTCAACAAAAATAAAAGAAATACTATTTTTCCCACTTAGAAGCTTTTTCCAGAACTTCCTATTATCAGCTGGCTGTGGAGCAGCTGCGAAGTCACCCTGAGGCCCTGGAAGCTCTGGGCAGTCCTCTCAATGTCCACCATCTTGAGCTCACCGACAGGCACAACTTCGTGGACATTGCCGATGCCAAGGTAAAGTGTTCTCCCTTATGAAAGCAGACTGGAGCTGCCACCTGGAAGGAAGCTGGAGTTAAGAATCCACTAAGAGTGCCACTAGCTTTAGCATCTCTAAAAAAGTATCTTCTTATGGTTTTTCTGTATTTATAAAAATATTTTATATGCCTATAGAGTCATCTTAAAACATTTATGTATTTGAAGGGCAGATTTTATATATAGAGAGAAAATAACAGAAATCTTCTATCCACTGGTTCACTCCCCAGATGGGCACCATGGCTAGAGCCGAGCTGGCCTGAAGCAGGGAGCTAGAAGCTTCTTCCAGGCTTGCCACAAGGGTGCAGGGGCCTATGGACCTGGGCGATCCTCCACTTCTTGGTAGGCCGTACACAGGGAACTGGGTCGGAAGTGGAGTAGTTGAGACACAAATTAGTGCCCCTGTGGGATGTCAGTGCTGCAGGTAAAACAGTAACTTGCTAGCCACTGTGCCAGCCCCTTATTTGTGTGTTGATGTCCCTATTTGGGGAATTAGTGTGAGAGGGACGGTGGCAAGTGTTTTTAGTTTTTAACCTTAAGTTGTAGTTAGCTAACAATTCTTGGTGGTTTGTGCCATGTTGGCTTTGAACTTGGAAGTACATCTGTGTATAGCTAGCATAAGGTCTGATGTCACCAGCTGTTTAATCTTCAGCCTTGAAATTTTGTTTACAGTGCTTCCCTGAAATGCCAGCCTATTTTTTGAACTGCAGCTTTTTGTGCAGTTCGGCTTGGCAAGACTCAAAATATAAGATTCACTTGTTACCCTGTTTAGCAAACATTTTGAGTACATGCCTTGGTTGCAGGAATGATTCTAAACTACGTGGGGAATGCAGAGATGGAAAAGACTGGGGGCGGGGTGTGTTTACAGTTTAAAATTCTGGTATAAGAGATGACAAAGCAAAAGCTGTTGCCATCACATAGTCCCAGGTGGCCCTGAAGTCCACTAGAGGCCTCGAAGGTTCTGTGAAGGCTGTGGAAAGTGAGACAGGTACACAGGCTGAGCAGCATGTGATCTTACAGTTAGGACACAGGTTGGCAGGTGCAGGTGTGATGGGCAGGCTCAGCTGGGCCTGGCAGAGCTGCCATCCTGTAAGCTGTGTGCCCTGGATTCTGTGGCAGCAGCACTGGAAGCATTTTCAAAGTAAGAGTTGCATGATCTTACCTGCTTTTCTTGCTGCTGTCTTTATTATGCATTTTATGGAACTGTCACTAATTAATTCATGCTCAGGTATTCTGATCCAAAGTACAGTTGGCTCCCAGTATCCACAGCGGATTAACTCAGGAAACCCTTCCATTTTGATCCGCAAATCTGGGAATGCTCAAATCCCTTCTGTAAAATGGTAAGGTGATTGGGTTGAGCCTGTTAACCTCCATTTGTAAACTTGAAACAACCCCAGAATGTAACATGAGTGGCCATTCTAAGTACCCAGAGCATCAAGTCTGTCATACAAAGTCCCCTGGCCAAATGAATTCACTAAAGCATGCAAACGGGGCAGGACTTCGGAAAAGCAGGTGAATTCTCTGTTTGGGCTGTTTGAAAAACAACTCAATTCTGTGAATAATCCCTGAGATTTTACAGGTTCAGCCGTGGGAAACGTTGCTTCGTCCTCGTTCTTTACTGCCATTTCTCACCCACAGTTGAAGATTCCTGTGTCTGGATCCAAGTCTGGGGGTCATCTGTACGTCTACTCATCCAGAGAAGGCCCCTTTCGGAGGTACTGAGGGCAGTGAAGACATGTGGGGGTCATCTTTACATCTGCTTATGCGGAGAGGGCCCCTCTCAGAGGTACTAAAGGCAGTGACGTGTGGGATTCATCTCTGTCCACTCATGCAGAGAGGGCCCCTTTCCAATGTACTGAGGGAAGAGATGTGTGGGAAATAGCTCCTGATGGAAACACATCTGATTTCTATTTTCACTTGTGACTAAATGATCACAGCATTGGTTCTCAAAGCCTTGAGCCAAATGCCTCATGGTCTGGGGGCACCAAGCCAGGCTGCGGCTGTCTAATTAATCTCATCTACTGAATTTGAAAATCTTGATACGGAGGTTTGGGTCTACAGTCATTTGATGCTATGTTACAGCCTCTAAGTCTGTGGCTCCCATCATTAGGAACTCCTGTTCCAGAGATTTGTCATATGCTCTGTGTAAGCTCTCCCCCCCATTAACTGCCTCGGCTAGTCTGGCTGCCAATAGCTACAACCGCTCACATCCACCCACGGGAAGCCTCTTCCAGAGATGTTTGCTGTTTAGCCAGGATGTATTTTAATCCCCAAGGACAAAAACAGCAGGCATCCCTGAGGCACACTGACCCCTGAGCCTGGGGATTAACTGAAGAACTTGCAGGAAATAAGCTGCTGCTTTTCCTTCCTAACGCCCCTTCATTTACCTGCTAGTCTGTTATCCTTACGCCTGCCTTGACAGTGATGTTGGGTGAGTAGTTAGGACTTGTGATGGAAAGTTAGATAAGACATATTCCTAGACATTTTTTTAAAGAATGATTTATTTGGAAGTCAGTTGGAAAGAAATCTTCCCCATGTGGCCAGTAGTTGATCAGACTGAAGCCAAGAACCCGGGACTCCTGTGTGGGAGGCCGGACACAAACGCTTGTCCCATCCTTTGCTGCTGCTTTCCCGAGGGGGAGCCTGGACCTGCACTGGCATGCATGTGCCAGCCCCCCTCGGTGCTGTCCTTGGCCTCTTTGATGGGAGACACTGTACTTCTGTTCTCTCAGGTGGCACCTTCAGGAGGTCTTCCTAGAGCTCAGTGATGGGCAGCAGATTCCTGTGTTCAAGCTCGGCAAGGAGAGTGGCAGTGAATTCGAAAAGGAGTAAAGGTGATGAGGACGACTCAGCATCCCCTCCTTCCACTGCAAGCCACATCCTGCAGCCACCAGTACAATGAATGTGTGCTGGCATATGGTAATTTGGGTATCATTCATTGAGAAAATGATACCCTGACCTCAATGAATGCTACTGTGTTTTTATCATTTATTTAAAAATGCTCTGTATAAAAAAAGCAAAGCACAAGATAACGAAAGACTGTTTTCAGTTTCTGCTGGTTCTTTTCCTCCTGATCAATAAAGATTGAGGCTTACTAGAACTGAAGAGCTTTCTCAACTGCTGACATCATTGTGCCAACACAAACCAGGTACTACTTACTGTTTGTTCACTCAACCTTCAATTCCTGTTAAGTAACTTCCATCACTTGGAAAGACTGTTTGCTATTTTCATGTCTATTTCAGTTACTACCTGTCAGATCTGCACAATAATTACTTTCATTCCATCATTTTGAAAGCTTAAAGCTTTAATTGTCTAACATGAGCTTTATGTGTACCTATGTAATCTACAGCTACCAGGTCCTGATCCTTTACTCCCCAATCAATTCAACTACCTGTACAACAAAGTCATATTCTAAGCTTACTGTTTTTAAAAAGACACTGCATTTTGAAGAGCCCTTCTTCTAAGACCCAGAGCTTACAAAAAGTTTATTATCCTTCCTTTCAAAAACAAAGCTAACCCTCGTAGTAGCACCAGGCTTTCATGCAGTTGTAATTGTCTACAAGGACATTTGTAAGCTTTTGCCCTTGTATTAATATTCACTGGAGAGGATTCAATAACTAAAATGCTGATGGAGCATGAAGCCTTCAGTCTGTACAATTCAGAGTGTCTTTTTCCTTTGGAGCTGCTTTGCCGGTTATGCTATTACGTGTGTCAACTTATTATGCAGACCTGGCAACTTTTCACTTCCTTTATTCTTTGCTGTGGCTCAAGTATAGGACAGGGGCCTAAGTGGTTTATGTGTTCTGAAGTAAAAACAAATGATAGCTTTATTTGTGTAGAGTTAGATATAACAAAAGTTTTTCTGAGCCAGTGGGCAGAAAAAGAACCTGTTGTGTGAAACTTCATTTGTAGAAAGCTACCATTCTTGGGACATTTTTTAAGTCCCAAACTCACCATATTCCTGGATGCAGTAGGCATTCTTTCCTGTTCTTTAAGGAGAGCAGTGTTGTGTACTTCCAGCCCACTACTTCCTGTGACTCAGCTGTTAATTTCCATGCCCTACTTTGATGACGACTTCATGCTGTCGGCAAAAGAAAAGGTAACTTTCTGCTATGGGCCCTGTTTGGACAGGTGAACCCAGCATAGCCAGTAACAAGATAGCACAGTCCACAGATCGCAGAGAAGAATTGAGTAGAATTCTTAAGAATTACAGACTTATGGCAGAGGAAGTCACAGCCAACAAATGGCAGCATGAGTTCCCTGTAGAAAAACGCTGTAAGCTCTTTACCTGCAGCGTGCTCACCAGCTACAATGCTGGGTGACTGGCCAAGGGCTGAGGAGTTAAGAGAAATCCAGGAGAGCATTTGTCCATATTGGCCTTCAAGACTGAGGTCTTGCTAAGCAGACACGATAAAGAATACCTTTTGGCGGGGGAGGCAGGAGGCATGCCTCAGAAACAGGTAAAACAATGTCCTGGAAGGGTAGCATAAAGTGAATGCTAGAACATTTTAAACAAGTTTGTAGCCACATCAAAAATTGATTCTGCTGTCGATGCTGGTTTCAGAGGCTGCCAACACCTGTGTAATTCTCAGATCATAATTTTTAGTGTAAGTATTCACCAGGGGATCATTACCCCTAGTACAGGTGCAGTACAGGAAGATGAAGCTGATGAAGGTTACGTAGTTACACAAAGCAGCTCTGCCCTCTGGAAAGGTAAGGGAAATATTCTGTGGGCTGTAGTCATTGCACTGCTTATGATTTTCAGTTTGTTCATAGGAAAAATATGAATAAATATTTACCAGTCACCTGCCTTGCAGGTGAGGCAATGTTTATACTGCTGGTTGGGATGCTTAGGGAAAAGGGGCTATTTACAGAGTGGCCTTGATGACTCCGAGGGCCAGGCAGGTGGAGGCTGATAGGCAGACCTTCAATCCCCACCCACAAGAAGATTCTTGCCGCCTGAGTAACTTGCTGCCAGTGTTCAGGCATGTCTCGTAAGGTGCTGTCAGGAATGTGTCAGAAAAACTGCAGCATTTCGTGATCCAGGGATGGAACAAGGAAAGTGGAAACATGCCCGTAAAGGACAGACTGGCTGCAGTTTAGTGAAACTGAGCCTGTAGGAGAAAGTACTTTCCATTCTTCACTCATCTGCCAATGCCTGCACCCCCAGGACATAGTTACAAAGTGAAATTTCTGTAATAAGTAAAGGAAGATATTTTTCTCCAATAAAAATAAATATTAAACTCAGTTTTCTTTTCCTCACTTAAAATAATTTGGAAGTGAAAATTACTTTCTCATTCTGTTGCCAGGTGATCAATCCATAAAAAGCCTAATAGTTACTTTGGGATAAAGAAATGGGAACCTGTACATAGGTTTTTCATAGGTCCCATTTTCCACAAAATTACAGAAATCATTATTTAAGAAGGCAAGCATAGCTCTTAAATAGCCTAACCCAAAGAAATTCCTTGATAGGAAAGCAGCAGCTTACCTACAATTTATATGGTAGTTTTCTTAGGAAATTCTGTTACTTCAGAAATCAGAAGGAAGTAACAGAATTGTCAACTCCAAATTCTTTTATCTGGTGAAGTGAGCAGTTACTAAAACAGAAAAGATTTGTTTAAAAACACTTGGCACATCAGGAGTGTAAAGGATGAATAGTTGGATAAATGCAGTAATTGCTGTTTCTTGATTTTCCTAAATTGATGGTAAAAGCACAGTGTATGAATGCTGGCAGTGCGGGCTCAGTGTGTAGGAAGGATATTGTACGATCCATGCAACAGGTGGGGGAGAGCCAAGGAACGTAAGCTTTCTACATTTCATACTAGGAAAATCTTGATATTGACTTACCTTTATAGCAAGAAAGTAGTTCTGTATCACTTGTTTACCAAAACTTCCACCTTACATGATAGCACAGGTCTCTGTGCCTAAGAACTGCAATGCCAGCTTTGAATCACATGTGCCATCTTTCCCACCCCCTCTACCTCTAAGATTTAGACACTGTACAACCAGCAGGGCCAGGGCTGCTGTTGCCCTCCCACCTCCTCCTTTCTGGCTCTCTGAAAGTTAAACAGACCTCTTTGCATGAGCTAAAAATGAGCCTGGGGAGGTGTGGCATATGAAAAGCAAATTAGCAAGAAATCTGAAAAATGAAGAACTGCCAAAACAAGGACATCAAAAAACCAGGGTCTCTGTGGAAAACATGAACACATGTGCAGTATCTCTGCACTGAAAAATATTTTTAAAAAGTTAAATTGATCTATAGACTCAAAGAATGTTACTCAGAATCCCAGAGGGCTTTTTTGGGGGCAAGTACTTTGAGTTGGCTTGTCAATTTTTACCAAATTTAGAAATTTAGATTATGTATTTGAAAGTCATTTTACAGAGCAGACCAACAATGAGAGAGATGTTCTGTCCACTGGTTCAGCCCTACTGATCGCAACATTGAAAACAAAACAGACGAGTCAGGATTAAACCTTATCAAAAACACACTGTTGAGAAAATAAGCCACAGAGTGTGTTGGGGGGGAGGATTTGTCACACACCAAAAAAAAAAAAAAAAAAGGATATTCAGCATCTGATAAATGCAAAAAGTGCTGCTTATTTGTCACCAGGAGAATACAAATTAAACCACCTTGGAATAGCACCACACCCAAGGGAGTACAGCTGAAATGAAGACAGCCCCAAAGGTCCACCATCTGTGCTGGTGGAAACACAATAAAGCTTTCTTAAAAAGCTAAATTTACATTTACTCTAAGTCCTAAAATTTCTAGGTACTCCTAATTACAAATAAAAACATGTGCGTAAAAAAATCCCTGTGCAATATTTATAGCAGCTTTCCTCAAATAGCCATGAGCAGAAACAGACTGTGCTATAATCAAAGTTCTACACAGGGAGAGAAACATGCTGATGGAACCACTGACACAGGTGCTCTGATGTACCGAGTAAGCAGCGGCAGCTAGGGGAGGGCGTGCTGTATGATTCCACCTGTTCATCTGGAGACAGGAGACTACAGGATTTTGCCAAGCTGACTCAGATCTGTGTGTTTCATTATATATAAATTATATCCCTCCCTCCCAAAACAGTGGTTGGAAATTAAGGCTCTGTCTGCAGTTTAATCTAGTTCTTTAAAGTCCTAAGTGGTTAGTCTTGAACCACTTATGTAAGTTTAGAAAGTCTGAAGAACCAAATTTAAAAAAGGGTTTTTGAATGCAAAATTATTGAATCCAAATGTTTTCCGTACATAGGTGGCATTTTCCATTAACTTTTGGAAGAGCCCCTCATATTTAGCTATTTGTCTAATATCTAATGTCTTTGGAGCTCATTTGTTGGTACTCTAATTTTTTCCCATCAGGTGTACTCTTTGGGCATTCACTCATCAATATTAACTCTGAACATACCTGAACCTGTGCAGACTGAAGTGCACAACAGTCCCATTTACATTAGTGAGGACTCTGGAGCCCTTGTCTGACATTCTCTAAGGCTTCTGTAGAACCTTTCTTCTTTAACTTTCAGGTTGGGGCAAAAGAAAAAAATATTAAGATTCCAGAATTATCATTTGTCTATCAGAGAAAGTCACTTTATCCTGTTTTCACATGAAAACAATGAAACAGTATTCAGCTTCCCAACTGATTTCAGCTACTTACATTTTGTGCAGTCCATCAAGTGCTCAGCACACTGAAAGCAAATTTTAACATCAGTACTGCATATATAAACTGTATGGATAGTCCCTGATCATGTGGAAATTGAAAACAAAGTGGTAATAGAGTGAGAGGGAAGTAGCTGTCTGAAGTATAGATTACTTGGCCTAATGGTGGGAGGCTCTTCATCGTGCTGTTTACTGCACAAACAGAAAATACCAATATGTATTTACAAGGATAGGCTGAAGGGCTTAAAAACATCATAAAGCTCAAAATTCAAGGTACAAAAGGGCAGCTGAGGATAGGCAGTGAACCAAAAGAAAACTTTCTTCACAAACATGGTAATTTTATTAGGTGTATTATTTGTGTCCCATCTAATTTTTTGGAAAAAAATGTAAAATTTGAACTTATTTTAAAATGACAAATTTATCAAGTACACAAATGTATCACTCAATAGGGTTTTTTTCCCCCTTCCCTATTTTTCTCAGAGAAACAGAACAAATTTGCATTACATTTGAATTTAACTACCCGAGGCTCTAAATTGCCACTGTGATAGAATTTTCTGGTCCCTACTAAGAGCTTATTTAGATATGCTAACTTTTCAGAAACTTTCTAAAGTCAACTTGCGTTTAAAACAGTGCAGTCTCATCTGATCTGCCCAGTCCATTTTGTCTAACTCTGAATAAAGCATGCTGAGCCGGGGAAGACCAGGCCATTGGTTACATCTCCTCGAATCGACTGCACACACTGTAACAGTGAGAGTGTATCCACTTTTGCATTTCCGTCTTTATAACAGGACTGTACTATTCAAGGTGGAGCCTGGATATAACTGAAACATTCGATTCTAAATCTAACTTAATTGACTATATTCTTACTTTTGGGTCCTTTTGGAAGATCTCTCAAAGGCCCCAAGTAAAAATGTTGGAATTTTTATGGACAAAGTAAAGGTTTAAATGGTTTTGACCTTTCAAGAGCTGAAGGCTGAGTGAGCATGGGCTCCCTGGCCAGAACGAATGCACTTTATCTCTTCCTCCTGTGCTTCAGATTTTATCATCTTGGGAATAAAAATAATAGCATCTTTTTACTGATCAAAGCCAATTACAGTGTGAATCAGATCACACAGCGGCCAGTGACGACCGCTGGGTGACAAGCGTGGGTGGAGAGATGGGGAGTATTCCATGACAGCACATGAGCGTGCTGTGCTGAGGGGAAATGGCTACGGCAGTTTTTAATTTTATACAAATTATAGTAACCTTTCTCAGAGGTGAAAAAATTACTGCCTAACAGAAAATCAGCCAGGGATTTTCACTGGCAGGTTACAAATATTGGACCCAGCAGAAGTCAAATCAAGTCAATATAAACCAGTAAAAAAGAAAAAATTATAAAAAGATAGTATCAAACTATTATGTATACTCTAATTCTCAAAATATTTAGAAGAATTCCTACTTAAAATCTTCCCAAGAAAAATCTGAAGTGGAAAAGTATCAGTTTTAGTGAAGATACCAACATGTGTCTGTACAGATATAGCTACACATATGAATAATACAAAGGAGATAGGCATACTTTTGGCACTTTTACTTAGATTTTTAAGGAAAGTGAATACAAATATTGTTAAATACAAATTCTCATTCTGGAGAAACAGGATGCAGTCTTAAAGGTGCAAATATCTCACTCCTTAAAAATAACATTGAAACAGTTTTACCTGCGAAACCACCTACTTGGCAAATTTAGAAATCTGGCTGGATTCACTTAACTCCGCAAGTTTGACAGTTTTTGTCTCCAGTGATGCCTGGTCATCCATCCACTTTCATTAGATTATGTACCGTCTGGTCAAAGGTCCATAAATAACATTTTCAATGTAGAAATCTTAAGGTTCTAAAGGGAAGCACGGCTCAGTAGATGAATTCTCCTGGGATTTCCTGCAGCAAAGGTTCCTCAAATTTAAATCGCTTTGAAATGGCCTTTTGCTCCATTTTCTCTTTTTCAGACTGTCTGCATTGTCCTAGAGTATATGAAGTAACCACAATTAACTCTTCTGTTACCACTGGTTCCTCGGTTTCCGGTTTCTCAGGATCTGAGCCAGCGTCCAGCCCAGAATCACCTTGGTGGAGGGTGTTTGGTTCCTCTGATGCCCCTTTGACTCTCACACCGGGACCTTGAACTTGGCTCTGTGTCAGCCACGGATGCTTCAGGCATTCTTCAGCGCTGGATCGATCTCTATGCAAAGACACACATTTTACACTTCAAACAGTCCAACTTCAGCTAAAAATCACAGCATATTTTCTTTTAGAAAACAGAAAACTAAGCATAAGGTACTGCGCTTATTGCATTACATTTCAGGAAGAAGAACTGACAAAAACCTTGTGGTTTCAATAAAACTAGATATTTTCGATTCTGGGTATAATTTCCTTTAATGTTGAAAAATTTTTTACATGAAATACAGATGGAAAATCCCTGCTGAGGATGAGCTGTCATTAAATCAGCCCATTATATGCATCATTCACTGCATGACGCTTCTGTACTGCAATTTCACTAAAACGAGAATCTTGTCATGAAGTATAGTTCGTATTTTCTAAAAACAGTTTCATTTTTGCCACTTTTCCCTAAACACGTATGAAGCTAAAGCTTTCATCTAGTTTAAAATCTTCATTTTGGTATTTTGGTCCATCTACCTTCTTGTTTGGAGCAGAGGACTAAAAAAGAGACAGATCTGTATTAATCAATACTTACTCGGGTTTCTTCACTAAAAGTTTCTTAATGAAGTCAATAGCTGACTCAGACACAGTATCGAATTCTTCCTCAGAATAGCTTAAATTCATTTGTGAAATGTTCAAGAATGTTTCTTGCTTGTCATCACCCAGGAAAGGTGATATTCCTGTGAGCATGACATATGTTAACACTCCGATGCTCCTAGAGAGGGAAGGCGAGGAGAGTCAGCATCACGTCGTATTTCTCAGAACCAACTTGATAAATCTGCATGGGGAGCCCTTACCACATATCTGTCGCCATGCTGATGGGATCGTAGCTGAGAACCTCGGGAGCTGGAGGCAGAAACAGAACAAAGCATTTGGTTTCCTTTAAAACACGCCGGCTGCTTCGCTCTGCATTACAGCCTACTGCGGGCTGGAGCCAGTGCTATTTGTTATTCTTTAATACATGAGACACTCCTGTTTATGAGGTGGAAAAGGCTCTTGGTAGAAAACTTGGAAGTTACCAAAATCAACCATAAGACATTAAAGGTGGCATTCAAGGTAATTGTTACCATTTTGATATTTTAGCTCACCACCCTTCATTCTGCAGTTTTCTGCATTTTTTTCAAGTATGTAATGCTACATGTCAAAATTGGCTAGGCTATGTGGCTGTTGCTTGCCCTAAAAAGCAACAACAGTGAAGTCACATTTCTAAATGTTCTTAGTGGTCATAGTGACTATCAGCAACTATACAGAAAATCAAGTATTGTAACCCGTAAGAGAATAGACAGTGTCCAAGGGCGTTTCTCTCTCTGCTTATAGTACTTTGCACTAAAGGATCTGCTTTAAATCACAGGACTTTAAAACTCTGAATCACTTTCTATGCTATCATTGCTAACTATCTCCTTCACCCCCATCTTCTGCCTTTGTGCGCTCTCTGAAATTCTCTTTTGTAAATTCTCGGCTCCTTCAAGCGCTACATGTTTAACCCTACTCTCTGAAAGGAGCCTGGCCCTGCCTCTGTGCTCTGTATCCCTCAATGGAGTTTGTCCTTTCGCATCTACCTAGGGGTGACGAGGCTCAGAGCACAGCCTTCTCTGCTCCTTGCCCTCCTGCTGTTGTCCTCTTCCAGGGCTGCCCTTACCCTAGGTGACCTTCACCCTGTGGTCCAAGACCCACACAGCCTGGCATCTAAACACCCTCACCTAAGGAACTGCCTCCTTTCCAGAACTAGACCCAACCTTCATCATTCCCAAATGCCGTCTCAGCACTGAAAGTTCAACTGTTACTCTCATCTCTGCTCGCAATTTCTAAATTGTTCTACAGCCTTAATTTTTCTCAGTTTTTACTTTACCAAATAAAATGATAGCACTGCTTTTTCTACCCAACATAGACCTATGTGCTGACCTTCAAGTTTAAGCATTTTCATTGTGCCAGGACCTGACCACCTCACGTGACCCACATGAATGCCCTTTCCATTCCATGCTTCCATCACAACATTCATCACAACCAGAACATCAATAAAGTTCCTTGTTCAAAATCCCCAGTTTCACAAAAAGTTCAATATTTTAAAAGTCCTCTCCCATTTTTTTTAAAGAACCAGTCTCCTCACCCTCAGAGTTGCAGGAGGAGGATCAGCATTTTGCACCTTGTTCTGAGTTGACCATTTTTTAGTTTAATCCAAATGAATCAGTTTCTTGTGAAATTTCAATATCAGATGACTGGACCCACTATACACCACGCCACATGTGAGATGACATGTCACCCTCAACACAAACACTCAACGCTCTCAGGAATACTGACCCACGTACTCGGGGGTGCCCATAATTTCTCGGAGCTCTTCGCTGTTCTTCACTATCCTTGAAAGTCCAAAGTCAACTATCTTGATGTCACCCAGTGGAGATTCACTTGTCAACAGGATATTTTGTGGCTGAAAAATAATGCCCAAGCAATACAGCTCAGATTACATGCACATCATTTGTAGATCAAGAAGCAAAAATTGCACCTGCTAAGTTCACACTGAGAAATTTGTCAGCGATCATTTGCTAAATACCTCATCTCTAATTTTGCAGTATCCTTCCTTATACCAACTCTTCCCTAACTTACAAACATGTGGTTATTCCTATTGTAAGGTAAAAGCCAAATGACTTGTAAAAACTGTCTCTGATGTGCTCAAATCTGTCCAGCTAGCACTTACTCCCTGATGTTCCCTCAAAGCTCAACTTCTTAAAAGCTTGGTCAGTTTCCATTCCCCAAATCTTAGTATTCTTACAAGTTTGGGCTTTTTATTATTTCTCCCCTTGACGATTCACTGTAGTTTTCCCCGCCTTCTACTATACAGAATACAGTTACTTCTTTAGCCACGAGAAACTGGCTCCAGGATTCCCCAGGGGAAACTTCACTCAAGTAAAATGCACAGCCACCACCTATATGTCATATTCTCCCATACACTTTAAGCTATGCACGTATGACACACACATATATAATAAAAAAGTAAATGCTGTATGATGAATTCTTATATTCTAGAAATAACAAGAAAAAAAGCCTCTGTACATGTTCAGTACATCTTTAATAGTTTCACTCTGCAACTGGTTAATTCCACAGATGCAAAACCTAAGCATGCAGCAGTCGAAGATGACTGTTCTTTTCCCGTAGCGTCAGGCTGCCTTTTCTCTGTGCTTTGTATGGTTGTTATCTTTAAATGACAGACATGCTCTTACACAAGGAATGGAGGATCGGGATCTATATGGCAAGGGCCACCAGAATCAGTAAGATTCCTCTATCTCTGGAGTCATTTTCACCCAATGAAAATAACCCAAGATACTTTCACATAAAAAGCCAAGCAGCTTTATTATGAACAAGAATACAATTCACTAGAGTTTAAATATGAGACTATTTTTTTTTTCCAGAAAGTCTGTCCTTCCTGTGTTCTTACACTTGGAAGTATTGGTGCTGGGAGTTGATCACTGCCTCCTTTTCAAGGTTAATCTGTGTCACCATTCAGTAGGCAATCTGCATTCCAACTTGGTCTGAAACCCCCAAATAAGATCCATTCTCTCAAATCTCATGTTTGTGCTTTGTTTAGGAAGTCTTCTCCCCTTCCCTGATGATTTATTTTCATCACTCCAGGCATGGCGAGTCTCAGTAAAGCACCAGTTCTAAGGAGTCCTTCCTGACTTCTCCATCCCTCCACGGAGGACTAAGTGGCTGGCCTCTTTCTGTTCCCCAACACCTGGTACCCAGCAAACTTGTCCCACTGTCTGTTAACTTAATTCTCTGCTTCATTATTGTGTGATTCCCTTGATGTGTAAATGAATGTTCAGATTTCCTCTTCTTTTTAACTATTTCATCTGATTTTTGTCCTCGTGTTCCATTACAGCCAGTCATACAATGCAGAGGATCCCTGTGCTTCCCTCTCAACAGCTATGTAAACAGTTTTTGACATTGCTGCCCATCCCTTCCTTGTCAACAGGCTTCTGGCTTCTTGTCAACAGGCTTCTGGCTTCCATGATGAAACACTGCTCTGGCTTTTCCTCCTGTCTCTCAGCCTGCTGCTTCTCTAACTTTCCCACTGAATGCTGGGTTTCTCACGGCTTAATCCTGAGGCCCTTTTCTCAATCTACACTCTTACCTTGCACAATCAATTTAAACTCAAGGCTTAAATACCACCTCGACCTTATGACTCACAACATTTTATCTCTTCAAGACCTCTTCAACTGATGATTTACTTAATTTCCCTCCCTTTGATGTCTAAGAAAAAAAAAAACCTCACATTCAACAAGAGCCAAACGAGACTCACATTTTCCCTCCTGCCAGTGAGCAACATCTTAGTGAGTGCTACCATCATTCATTAGGATAGGAGGGAACACCCAAGAGTCACTCTGGTCACCCTGTCTTCCTTACTCCTCCCCCATGTCACCATATATCCCAACTTAAAGTCCTAAGCACTTCCAGATGTCTGCTCTCCAACTAAGGAATTACAGCTTGCCATCATTTCTTGCTTATTTGCCCTATACTAATAAGTGTGATTTTGCCTACATAACGACAGAAAGATCTTGCTGTAAATGCAAACATAAATGGTCATCGCCTTGCATTAACACTTCAGTAGCTTCCCATTGCACATGGGTAACCTCTGGACTGCTGGAAGTGGAACAGAAAACCCTGACAGGTCTAGTTCCCACTTAATGTGCTAGACCCAGTACAGGCTGGATGCCCCTGACTTAGTGCTATTGATATCAATGTGTATTTTGCAGTATAATACACTTGTTTTCTGTTCTGTGCTCAGAGTGTTGTCAACTTTATGAGAAGACCTGGGGTAGTAGTGAGTACACCATAACATGTTCACAATGTAAAAGACCAAATTAAAAATAGACAAAGTGTTCTTGTTTTAAAAATGGTCTCAATCGGGGCAGGTGTTGTGTGCTCCACTTCTGATCCAGCTCCCTGCTAATGAGCGTGGGAAGGTACTGGAAGATGGCCAATCGCTTGGGTCTCTGCCACTTACGTGCCACCATCGGTGGCATTGCAGACTCCTGGCTTCAACCTGGCCAAGCCCTTGCTATTATAGCCATTTGGGAAGTGAACCAGCAGATGGAAGATTTTTTTCTCCGTCTCTCTGCCTTTCAGATAAAATGAACCTTACCTTCCCAAATCAATTTATTTCTATTTTAGAAATCATAAACATATAAGTATTAGTAATAAGAAACCTCTTTAGCCAAAGAGCTCATAATTAGGAAAGAGAAGGATCTACTGGACTCAACTGTTCAGCATTGAGTCATGACAGAAGTACACACTCAAGCAATAAACACATAAGGATTGACTTTGCCTTGAAAAGTCAGAGGAGCTATGTGAGTGGACTCTTAAAAATACTATTCAGCAAGCAAAATTTTAGCAATTGCTTTCTGAGCTATGTTCACAAAACAAAAACTCCTCTCTTTTAGAAGAATAAGTCAGTGGGGACAAACAGAGACGAGTGCTAGAACTTCAGGTAAATTTCAGTCAGTGCTGTGAGGAACTCGTAGGGAGACAGGTGAGAAAGTGCTTGCTGGTGGTATATACCCATGCATACAACTCTAAGAGAAAGCAAAAGGCCTTGGGAGGAAGAGGCCAGTGTTCAGCAGGGGCCAGGCATGACATCTGTCTGAGGGCTGAGGTGGGGAGAGGGCAGAGCAGCAGTGATAGCCCCGTGGCATCAGCAAACTGCCAGCAGCAAATCTGCAATAGCAGAGGCAGGCCACATTTTCTTTAACTTCTATTTCTGTGGCTGTAGGGGAAACAAACTCAAACCTATGTTGCACCGTGACTGTGAGTCCCCCAGTCTTTCCAGGGGAATCTTAGTTTCATTATGATACTAAAGTCCAGGATAGTCCAGCATAATCAAATGTCAAATGTTGGGAAGTTTGGCTCAGAGACAGGCACGCATCACTGACCAGCTCTGCCCCTTCTGGTGCATGCAAAACACCAAGTGGCAAATAGGAACTATGCAGCTTCTCTGGATGTTCTTAAATACTATTTGTCCCCTTCAAATACTTTAGGTGTTTTCTCCTTATATTTTCTTCACACTTTTCAGTCCTGCATTCCTGTTACCATGACAAAGCCAACTGCTTTGGTATCAATGCCCTAAGTCCCAACTTACTGCAATCAAATTATTCACATTAAATCGTCTTAGAAATCTAAGCCTAGCCACATGTATCTATGATTTGTAACTCAGACTTTCTTTAAAAATTAGGTTATTAAACAGTTGAAAGATTGTTAAACATTTCTCATAAAATCAGAGTAATTCCTATTAGTTCTCTTCCGTGGTGGCCACACCTATTTTTAAAAGCTGACTTCTTCTTCTAAATAAAGCTGTAAGACTAAAATCTTTCATTAGTTCTTTACTGGATAAATACACCTACTTTCAATGAGATAAAGTATATGAGTATTTGCCAGAAACAGAGATAAGTATTTCAGCATTTACAATTTAGTTAAACCCATTTTAGTGAACTCAGTTCTTGTTAAACAGCATGCACACAATAGCTCATTCTATTTCAAACAGACGAGTCTTGGATGGTAGGGAGAGAAAGGAGGAAGTCAGGCAAGAGAGGTGATTACAGAATTAACAGGAAACGTGCATTTCTCAACCAGACAGAGGCTGTAAGGAGGTCCCTCCAAAAACCTGATCGCCTCACAGGGCAGGAAATGGTTAGTGCCCCCAACAGCCTTGCTTTATGGGGGATCCTTTTCTTTATCTTGGTAACTTCATCTCTGAAAAATAAAATCTATCCAACATGCTATTGATTTCTGATTTGGTGACTAAGATCACTATCAAACTGAATTTAAGGAACATTTTGTTAGGCAATGAAAGTTCTAATAGATTAATTTATTAAAATCCAGGTTTGGAGGAGAAAACTAGGCTAATAATCTTACCTACATTAATTTGGGGGGATTGTTTTAGGAATGTTTTTATCCCTTTCTTTCATGTAATATACTTATGTTGGAATGGTTGGTGATTCAATTTAAATTTCCAGTGGAAAGATCCCAGCTTCTACTCCACACTTAATCATGCACATGACAGCATGGAGAGGCTAATGATGTAAAACTTCATAGTAACATTATTGAAAGATAATTTGGAGACAAAGTGCACTGACAGTCTGGACAGGGTTTTTTGTGAGGGCCATTTTTGATCAGTGTTCTGCTAATAAAAGCAGGCCGTGTGCCAACTCTAAGTCACAAAATGACTATTTTGAGACTTTTAGTTTTGTTTTTTCTAGAGTTACTATCTCAGTAATTTCAGTTCTGTTAACATTTTAATATTTTAAACAGGTGGATTTTCCTTTAATCATAGTTTCTCTTTGCTATTCTTGTGCATTTATGAACTTATACTTTTATAGACTCCTAAATCCACAACTGTTACTTCTCAAAGAATTTTCCGTGTGTTACTTGGCTAGGCGTCTTTGGTGAATCATTCTGACATACATGCCATGTGCTGTCTGCACTACAGCCGAACGTGCATTGTCTATAGTGTTTTCTTTATAGAAGCAACTCTGGTAGTCTAATATTTTAAGCACTAGAACTAACTTCTGTCTCTGAGCCTGAAATTTCTTAACCAGAAACGAGGTAAGTTAACCTACAATCTTCAATTTTCACAGATTTTTCGTGGAATTAAAATATAAGAAAATATATTTGACTTTGAAGCAGTGTGAGAAAATCATTTCAGTTTTCATCTTTCAAGTTCTTTTAGAGACTGAGGGTCAACATTCTAAGCACAAATTCTCACGGGACAGATGGCTGTTAAAGGTCTGCGCTTGTGTCGGCCTGAGGCGACCTTTTGGTAGAAACCACTTCCTTCTTCAGTGCTGCTCCCCAAGCCCATCTGCATCCTCTGTAAGCAGTTCACTTAGAGATGCATCTGACCGCACATGAGTGCAAGCAGAGAAGAAAAGCTGAGTGCACCAGATCTGTCTTCCAGCTCCTCTGGATCTGAGCGCACTGGACCACCTGTCTTCCAGCTCCTCTGGGTCTGAGCGCACTGGACCACCTGTCTTCCAGCTCCTCTGGGTCTGAGCGCACTGGACCACCTGTCTTCCAGCTCCTCTGGGTCTGAGCACACTGGACCACCTGTCTCCTAGCTCCTCTGGGTTTTGCAAACAGGAAGTGTCCAGTTTACCATCAAAGGCTCATCATCCGGGTCTCTATTACATTTGTAAAAAAAAAAAATTAATTCTGTACCAGTATCTTATAGAAAAAGGAATATGATATATACATATATATGCATAAATATATGTATATAGAGTCTTGAGGAGAAAGGGGTATGATTTCCTTGTGTAAACACACAGTTGAACCTGGTATTCAAGAACTTAATATTCACCTTTGACTGCTTTCAGGTAACATCAAAGATCCATGACACACAGTGTTGGCAACCTGTCTGACTTGCTACTTAATTAGTTCATGAATAATGGTCACAGGTTGTGCTGTCATAAATGGAAGGCTCATTTCCTACAAGTACAATATCGTTTACATTACGATTCTGTTCCTAGAAGTCTTGTTTATGTCATAAAGCCAATAAAACTAACACTAAAAAGATTTTACCAAGTTAAAAAGCATAAAAGTATACATGAAAGAAGTTATAGCATAGCCATGTCTTCTGGGAATTCTGCATAACTAATATTAAAAAGACCTCTTCCCGCAGCTCCTGTGAAGTCTGGCCAGCTGAACGCTCTGCTCCTGCTGTGTCTGCAGGAAGGAAGCATAGGTGGAAATTTCTTGGCGCAAGCATCTTTGTGTTACTTATGCACAGGACTGAAGGAAAAAAAAGTTTGACTACCTGTGCCTTGAAGGGTTTCAAACAGGTGACCTTCACCTTCAGCACTGACATTAGGCCAACCCAGTGTTAACATCCTGGGACTACATGTATCACATACATGTCCATGCTTGCCTTGAGGAAATAAAAAAGCCACTTAACTATCATGTGCCTAACTGCTATGTTGTGATTCTGCACTGTAGCTATAATACTAAAGAAATCAATTCAGAAAAGGTGATTATTCAAAAAGGGAATTTCACTTGGTCTCCAAGGAATGAACAAGAAAGCTACCAAACTGTCTTCTCTATTCTGTAGGATGTCACAACTAAAAAGCACTTGTATTAACCTTCCACTTAATTCTGACTAGGTCATCAACAAGGTTGCTTCAGAAGTCAACCACAGATTACACTAAGTGCTGTGACTTACACAGAAGGTGTCATGGCCCGTGCCATACAAAGTGGCCCTGGACCTGAAGCGTAAGCATCGCCTGGCTCTGCCCTCAGCCAGAAATGCTAGGCTTGTGGCCCAGCAATTTGCTTTAACAAGCCCTTTGAGGTGACTCTGGTGCCTGTCAGAGTCTGAACAGCACTGTCGCAGAGCACCTGCTGTCTGCCAGAGGCCCTGGCAGCAGAGATCAAGGAAGATGGGGAGCCAGTGGAGACAGCAGGGTGCAGCTCAGGTTAGAAAGCCCTTGGGAGGTCCAGGACTACAGGCTTCCTAACTTTGTTTCTTCTGGCTCACATGGCTGTCATTTTGTTGTTGTTTTGTTTTGTTTAAGGATTTATTTATTCTTATTGAAATGATATACAAAGAGGAGGAGAGACAGAGAGGATGATCTTCTGTCTGATGATTCACTCCCCAAGTGGTCGCAATAGCTGGAGCTCCGCTGCCAAAGCCAGGAGTCCGAAAGCCTCTGGGTCTCCCAAGTGGGTACAGGGTCCCAAAGCCAGCGACTGCTTTCCCAGGCCACAAGTAGGGAGCTGGATGGGATTAGCACCGGTACCCATATTGGATCCCAGCACATGTGAGGACTTTAGTTGCTAGGCTGCAGCATTGGGCCCTCTTTAAACACCAGGAACCAAAGTCAATGAGCCCTGTTCTGTATTTGGGGACTATTTAATTTTCCCACATCTGTCCCAGGGCTTGATGGGAAAGTGGGACCTTTTCTATCACAGTCACCTGAAAGAATACTTAAAGTGGACATCTGCCACTAGTTTCCCGAATAACCCGTGTTCGTAGTTTGAGAATCTCTCACTTTCTCCCTAACAGTTCCAAGTCAAGATGGAACGGGAGTTTACCTATCAGGGTTGGAGCATGACCAGCACAGGCCAGACACCTGCACCTCACTAGCACACTTCCTGCCTGTAGGTAGATCCACGCTGGTCTAACCAGAGGCTCTCCCGGAAGTTCTAGGAATACAGAGCAGCCCTGTCCCTCTGAACCCTGGGCAGCAGTGAGGCCTACATGGCACCATCCGCTTACCAGCATGTTCCTGCCCTTCTGAGAAGGCAGAGCTGACTGCTGGAGCAAGTCCCCAGTCCTCACTGCTTTCTGAGTCATGAAAACCATCATACTTAAAACTAGAATTTTCTAGGGACTTTTCAGCTCAGTCAAGAAAATTTGCTTTGTGCTTAATCTAGTTTCAGTCGGTGTTTTGGTCACTTGAAAGAACCATAACAGGTGCACTGTCTTTCTCTTCCCTCCTCTTCCCATTCCTTCCATCTCTCTCTCATGGTGCCAATTCTCACATTTATTACTGCCCACTTTGCCCAAAACACCAGATATTACTGTTCAGGTAACTGAAACCCATAGAAACATCTGAAACCCATTTTAAAGTTTAAATCTCTACTCAATGTCTCAATTCCTATGAAATTACTTCACTTATTTTTTTCCCCCAAGAAAGTCACATATATTCTTAATTTTTGTGACAATAATTTTCTCTTCTTGTTCTCTACGTACTTAACTCCCTTTTAAAAGGTTTATAGTTCAAGTGCTAAACTCTACTAAAGAAACTTTACTTGTCCATCAGTATTCTCTGTATTTTCCTGGCACTGTACTTACCTTTCTGTGGGCACACATGCACACTATCTTCCCTGATACAATTAAGGGCTAGAGGAAAAGAATCAAGATTCAATTCTAATATCCTTATCCACTTTAAGGAAAAAAGAGGTCATGTAAGTTTGAATAAATCATTGTTAAATACTTAACAGTCAGAATGTCATTCTTTAGCGACCTCAAAATTATAAAGAATTCAAGTCTTACCTTCAGATCCAGATGAATGACATGGTGAGTGTGCAGGAAGTGCACACCTTCTAAAATCTGCCGCATGAGTCTCTGAACATCTTTCTCGCTGAAGGCTTCGTCTCTGTCTGCAACACACTGGTCAAAGATTTCACCTCCAGCAGCACTAAACAGGAATGAATTAAAGGAACGTGTAACTCGACAGGAAGCAGTGAACACTCTCAGCTAAGGAATAGCCACAGCCTGGTGGAACTGTAGGTTAACAGGAACCACAGTAGGAGCTGAGCCAACTCAGTGCTAAGCAGCTAGGCAGGCACCGTGGCACACCCCACGTCTTTAATTGATGAACAGGATGATTAAAGCAAAATGACTTTAACAAATTTCCAAATTGGATAAAAACTACAAATCCAAACTTAAAGTGGCTCAGGGCACATCATGCTCAAATTGCTGAAAACTAATGAGAGATTTTAAAAGGCACACTTGTGGGTAAATCAAAGCAAGAGTCGTCATAAACACGGCAAGGAAGACAGGAAGACGACAATGGACTGAAACTGTTAAGTCCTAGTGGTGGGGGGAGGGGAGTTCCCTGAACTCAGTAAGTTCAATGAAAGTTCATATTATGCCAAAACTGTGCACGGATTATGAAATTATTTTTTCATCAAAATAAACTTTCCTTTAGAGCACATGTTTATGTGCATGTAGAAGCACCTTTGTGTAGCTATTATACTTTATTTATATTCGAGAGCAACTAACAATTTGTAGAAAGACGTCATCATTTGCTCTAAGCATTTAACTCTATCTCCTTCAGCAGATTAAGCATCTAGAGGGAAGGGGTATGCGATTTCTGCTTTCCTATTCTCCATCAGTGTCTACTGCACATGCAGGTCCCCCAGGAATGAGTAGCTGACAAAGTGATTGTAACCTGCCTGTTTCCCTGACAACCATCTATCGACAGGGCTGGGAATTCTGCTATCGCAGTACTGCTTCAAACTCACAGTAGAATACAGAAGATTTTGCTAAATAACCCTAATTTTGGCTCTAAAAAACTCATCACTGGAGAGTCACCAAAGACACTGAAGTAAGAGGAAGAGAGTACCACATGTAAGTTACCGAACAGTAACAGGAGGGATGACCTAGATTTGATGCCACGGTGATCTGCTGAGAAGCTACAGAACTTTCTGTGGAACACTTGGTCATTCATTATGTATGTGCTCAAGGGGATCAAGGAATGAAGGACAGCAATGAAGTATGTGGAGAGACCAGAGGAAATGGGAAGCCGAAGAAAAACAGGCATTAAAAAGACAATGCAGGAACAGTGACACTAACTGCTCAGAGTGGCATTTGGATAGACAGACACAAGGGGAGAGCTGAGGTTTAGGAGAGGGCGGGTTATTTGAAAGTAATAAAAGTCACAAAGAGTTGATTTTCATCCAGGTTGATCTATAAAAACAAATATGTAGGATAACAGCAATACTGATGGAGCTTTGAGATCCTTTCCATGGATAGAAAGCTCAAAGAGAACATAGTTTTAAAATATGGCAATGAAAAGTAAGGAAAAACCTAATTTTAAGAAAGACTATACAATAGCAAGTGCTTCATAAGAAGAGGTAGAATGACCATTACAATGAGGTGACTGATCCAGGAACACAGGGCTGATGACCTTAGGAAAATCTCAGAAGGACATATGGCATCGGTTTGAAGAGTAAGTGGATTATTGTTATGTAAAGAGATGAATGGATCAATGAGACAGAATGAAACTGATTGGAAGGTAAGCAGGGTTATAAATACAGTGTCCTTTAAGAAGTAAAACAATAGAGAAGCAGACGTTGAAAAATAAAGCTGAGGAAAGGAGAGATTTTAGGATGAAAAACTGAAATATTGGAAAAGTCAGGGAAAACAATACTCAGAGAAGGAATCAACAATCTAAGAGGTTATACAACTGATTTAGAAACACCACAAAGGGAGGCCAGCACAGTGGCCCAGCCTACTAATCTGCCTATAAGCACCAGCATCCCATATTGTGGTGCCTGTTTGTGTCCCGGCTGCTGCACTTTTGATCCAGTTTTCTGTTGATTGCCTGGCAAAATAGCAGAGGATGGCCCAATCCTTGCCCACTGCATACACGTGGGATGCCTGGAACAGACTCCTGGTGCCTGGCCTCAGGTTGGCTCAGCTCCAGCCACTATGGCCAGGGGAGCAAACCAGAGAATGGAAGGTACTTCTTTGTCTTCTACTCTCTGTAAGATAATCTACTTTTCAAGTAAAAAAATTTAAATAAAAAAATGTAAACATTTGGGTAATTAACTAAGAGCTATTTGATATAAACCTGCATTAAAAGGACTGTTGATAGAAAAAAAATGTCTTTAAAACAAAACAGGTTTTGTGGCAATGGACAAGATGATTTTCATCAGAGAAAAATATTTCAGATTAACTTTTGATTTCACTCCGATCTCTCCAAAATAAATTGAAAAACAAAAACCCACATAAATAGGGCTTAATAAGATTCCTAAACCAACTCGAGGAAAAAAGGCAGCTGAGATATAATTCATAATTCACCATTCCACCATCTTTGGAGTATTTCTACCATTATAGATTAAAAACACATTGTGGCAAACACCTCTATGCGTCTCATGTTCATGTTTTATTATTGCTTCAGAATTAATTCCTGTAAGGAAAATCACTCAAAACATGAACATGTACTCTTCAATTCTATCAAACAGAAGTTGCACATGCTTGCAAAACTGCTTCATAGTTCTTTTTGTGAGAAAAATATAAGAAAGTGAAATTGTGGACTAGAAAATTATTTTTTAAAGCTTAGGTGCATAAATCATATTGTGTTACAGAAAGGTTACACCAAAATGCAATGTCTCAATATCACGTTATGTTAACAGGGGAAAGGTGACATCTTGTATTTACATTTTAAATTACGAGACTCAGTAGTTGGATGGGAAGTTTACATGTGTGTGATGAGGTCCTCCACACTGACCAGAGCTTCACATGTGTGTCTGTAAGATCCAGGTATGTACGATACACACGAAAGAAATCTTAGTCACTTTGCATTTCTCTCTGGCTTTTCATTTTGTGTTTATTGACATACGAAGGGCTTTAATGTGTTTATCAACCCTTTCCTTAAACAGGGAAAGCAGAGAGGAAAATAGGATATCTTCAGGAAAAAGAATTGTCCTTCGTTTTCCAAACTGGACCTCCTTAGTTACATAAATTCAAAACAGTAAGACCAAGAGTATGGTCTCTAAAACAAAAGAGATTCACCAAAAAGAAGGGATTATAAAACTAGTAAGGGATTAGATCTTTTAGTTTAGTTATATTACGGTATTACCTTTCTAAGAATGTTCCTAAGTAAAAATGTAAAGAGAATTAAGAATTTTAAAAAACAGAAATTTAAAAAGCTTGCACTTGTTTTGCTGTAATTTCAGAACAGGCCAAGTTAGTGAGAGGAACGCATGAGGGCGACGATGGGGGAGATCCCCAGACCACGGGGCCTGCGGCAGCCCCACACACCAACAGCGTCCTGAGAGGGCGGCCAGCCACGCCCGCTCCAGCGCAGGCTGGCAATACTTACTATTCCAGAACCAGGATCATCTCGGAGGCCGTCTCATAAACTTCATGCAAATTAATGACCCACGGATTATCCTGGGCTAGTTCAAGAACGGCGATTTCATGAATTATTTCCATCCGACAATCTTGGCCTTTTCTCCTTTTTCTCATGAACTTAGCTGCAAATTCCTTTCCAGAATCTTTCTTTATGCATTTTCTCACCACTGCAAATTTCCCCCTAAGAATTAAACAAAAACATCCACTGTTTAGTGTTGACAACTTTTCCAAGATGATAAACTGAAATAGAAATTTCTGAATATACACTAGTAGATATTCAAATTCAACTTACTCACAAAAGTAGCAAAATCACTTAAGAATTTACAAAGGCTATATATCCAGGTTTTAGCAAAATAATCTCCTAATCAAAATCCATTTTTCTAAATGTAGAATTAGCTGCTGTGATTTGCATGAGCCTGAAGTTCCTGTATTAGACACTTCATCCCCATGAATGGGTTAATGTCATCACAGGAGTGGGTGGTGGATCAAAGGAGCCTGTGGGCTCCTCCCTCGACAGAGGCTTTCCTTGCCTTTTATCTTCAGCTTTGAATTGATGGAGCAAGCAGGCCTTTGCCATATATGGCACCTTGATCTTACAATTCCCCGTGTCCAGAACCATGAACCAATTAAATGTGTGTGCTTTAAAATTTTCCCAGTCTGTGGCACAGCAGTACAAAATGGATGAAATCAATGCCCAAACGCTGAAGTCAGTACGTTCTGCACCACTGTTTATACAGCTAAGTTTTTGCACATTCACATATAGATGATTTAAATCTTTAAAAAGTCATTTGAGGGAGTGGGTGTGTTAATGACTGGGTTTGATACCTGGCCTCAAAACCTGATCCCAGCTTCCGGTTAACAGAAGCCCTGGCACGCAGCAGGGAGGGGGCAGGTAACTGGGTCCCTGCCGCTCAGGACACCTGGCCTGAGCTGGAGCGCTCAGCGCTGGCCATGGCCTGACTGACGCCACCTGGGCACTTGGGGAGTGAACAGTAGACAGTAGCTCCCTTTCCCTAACTCTCGAGTTCTGGTAAAAGTTGTTGGACTTTCTGATAGCAGCTGGTCACCAGCTTTCTTGACATAATGCATTTCATTGACCCTACTCTAAGAAACAGTATCACCTAAAATTATAACAGAATTTGGGCCAGTGCTATTGCTCAATGGGCTGGTCCTCCATCTGCAAGCACTGGCATCCCATATGGGTGCTGGCTGATGTCCCAGCTGCACCACTTCCCATCCAGATCCCTGCTTATGGCCTGAGAAGGCAGAGGAGGATGGCTGAGAGCCTTGGGCTCCTGCACCTGTGTGGGAGACCCAGAAGAGAACTCTGGTACCCGGCTTTGGATCGACTCAGATCCAGCCATCTGAGGTTATTTGGAAAGTAAATCAGTGGATGGAATCTCTGATTTTCCTTCTCTCTGTAAATTTGCCTTTCCAATAAAAACTTAAAAAATGAAAAAAAAATTATGAAATAATCTCATTTATGCAACTACAGCATCAGTTGAAATTTTTAATTTCCAACAGATACAACAAGCATTATGATATACAACTATCATTTGTCAGTAAACTAGTAACTCTAACATGAAAATCACTAGAGCATATGGATCAAAAGTAAGCTCTTTGGAATACACAGAAGTGGGCTTGAGTCTCTCAGTAGACACCTAACGTATAACCTCAGGCAGTCTATCCTCTTTCAGTCTCATTTTTCTTCCCTTTACAATGGGAGACAGGTAACATTTACCTCACAAGTGAGAATTAAGGTAGTTTGGCCACACTGGGGAATGTGATGGGGAGAGCTGGTGGGTGTTGGCTGCCGACTCCTCTTTGGACTCCAGAATGTTTGGATACTATAGTCCTTTAGATAGCATAGTATCTGCATTGAACTTCTACTGCCTTCTATATTTTTAAATCATCAATTACTTCTAAGACCTAATATAATTTATAATACTAAGCCACTATTTGCTTTAGCATATTGCATGGGGAATAATGAAAAGAAAAACTGTATGCATACATTCCTTACAATTTCAGTTTTTATTCTTTTCAATCTCCTGTTGGTTGAACTTGAATGCAGAACACGCGGCTACGAAGGGCCAACTGTACGTCGATAATGCATGTCACGAGCTAGCACTGCCCCGGCGAGCGAGCACAGGCCTGTGTGTCTTCGCTAGGCTGCCTGCCCCGCACGTTGTTTCCACGAGCTTTGCACGGCCTAAAGCTGACCTCGCCGAATGGCTACAGTCCCAGTTCTCTGCTGACACCACACAGTGAGGCCACTCTGAGAGGCACCCATCAGGCCTGGAAGGCAGCGGGCAGGAGCTGGGACGTGCCACTCCCTCCATTTCTCACCCCCACAGGACTTTTTGACCCCTTCATTTTTATGGTTTATCCATAAATGTTTCAACCAAATTGGAAGCAACTATTCCATTTTAAAAGTGGTACATGATTATTATCTTGTTGCTTTTGGCATAATACAACCTAATAATACTTGTTTTAAAAAAGCTTTACATATTTCTTATTGGTTGGTAAATAAATTAGCCAGATTTTCCCCTCTTGAGTTGTTATCAAGCCAACAACCTCATACAATATTCTAAAATATCTTTATAGAAAATAAATGCCAGGCTTTAATCTGCTGTTACATTCTACCTTCCAGGTCTTGGGTCACCATCTAGACAGTTGATATACTGAGTACCAATCCTTTCCAAGCAGCAAAAACATGATCTTTATGTCTTTTGCATTTGCTATCATTAGAAAAGAATGGCAGAACCTTGACAACAGCAGGTGTATCACTCTTCCATTTGATAGCAATCCACCCATCATGATTACTCAGCTCGCTATGCTTCTGTTCATACTACTGGAGAGACTGAAGTCCTCTTCATCACAGACTAGCATTTTATCCTGCAACATTAGGCTAACACTCCAGTGGGTTCTAAATTTTCCTCATGATCTCTGGACCCATTTAAGAAGAAAAAAAATCACTAGTAATACTTTACATATCCATGTCAGAAGTCTCAAAAGTGAAAGTTTAATCTGTAAAATACTGATCTGAATTAAAGCTTCAACATATAATTGATGGCAATGATGTTCTTGGTAAATTAGATATGACTCATTGGAATGGCTCTCAAAATCCTCCCACATCAAATACACAAATGTTTACCATTGCCACACCTAAAACTCAAACTTGTAGAGCACTGTGAAGTAAAATGCTACCTAAGAGCTAGCCTGAGGCCAGTGATCGGCAGAAAACTGTACGCACAGTCAGCCTACACTCGCAGGGCCCCTACGCACAGTCAGCCTACACTCGCAGGGCCCCTGGACAGACGCCCAAGCCTCCGCTCCGAGCCGTCTGCCAGCACACTCCACACTCATTCCTTCCAGAACCACACTGCTCCTGCAGTGGTCCTTCACGCCAGTGACCACTCTGGGACTACCTTTGTGCTGGCCTTCATTTCTCAGAGTTCTATTCTTCATTCCATCATAACATTTTCTAGGGGCATGTCATCTTGCACATAAAGGACACAGTGATGGATGTGTCACAGATGGGGACAGCTTGCAGAGTCTACACACAAGTAGAATATTTGTTTAGTCTGATGTGTCACAAAGTTCCATCTAATAAGGGTGCCTCTCGGGGTGCCACATCGTGTACCAGAGGGGCTGGGACTAGACACCTCTGCTTCGGCCCCCTAATAATAACACACCAAGGCGACAGCAGATTGTGGCCCAGATATTTTGGTTTCTGCCACACAGGTGGGAAACCGGATGGGCTCCTGGCTTCATCCTGGCCTATTCTTGGCTGTTGTGAGCATCTGGGGGACAGAACAAGCAGGTGAAAGATGTCTCCCTCTCTTCCTCCCTCTTTCCCTCACCCCCACTGCCACACAAATATTTCTGTGTGTAAAAGGAGTCAAGTGTTCTGAAGGCAATCTAATTTGAACTCAACATGATGCATTAAACTCCCTCAATCTAATTCTTTCATATTTATCTTAAAAGGCAGTTCAATAACTAGAACTATGAAACCTTCTAAAACATTTGATTCACTGATCAGATTTCATAACATTTAGGTACAAAAAGAACCAAGTTTACTGGACCTTCGAATTCATGTAAAGTTTTTGCCTGTAACACTTTAGATTCCAACTGTTCCCAATTAAACCTGACTTCCTTCGGGAAGCATCTGTGATGGCAGTCACCTGCTCACCCACAGCAGACCCTTCGAGACCCACAGCAACAGGGAACCCCAAAGCTGGTCACTAACACGTCTAACTGCTAATATACCTTAAATAACTTCTGTCCAAAAAACAAGACAATGTCTATATGGATCTGATTTCTGTAACATCCCTACTCATCAAAGCTGTGGGACACTGCACTAGTCCCAGGATGGGCTGTAGATTATTCTTGCAAAAGCATCTATGGTGACACGATACCTTTCTCTCAAGACTCATTCTCTTCCTTGGTTTTCTTGTCTGAAAAACGGGCCTTTTCAAACTGCCTTGTGGTGAGTTTGGGCATCGCCTATGAGACTACAGAGCTTGTACAGAGATGAAATACCAGCTGCAGCCGAGAAGTGTAATTTAGAACTCGTCCCACAGGGAAAAGCTAATGATGTTCTGACTTTATGAACCTTTTTTTTAAAAAAAAGTTAAAGTTGAGGACTGATAATACAAACACATCTAATCATTTCATGTGAAATAAATACAATTTTAAATTTATGGGAACATCTTTCTCTTCCTATACTACCAATTAACTCAAGGGAATCCACATTAAAAAAAAAATTCTCAGCATCCCAGGTCATTTCTGCTCGCCTCAGTAATAAATCACTAATGTGGTTTACACTGGCACACATCCTGACTCCTGGGAGGAACAAGTCAGACTTGAAGCAGTTAAAGTTTCACATCATACATTTACTTCCATGTAGGTTGCTACGGCCGCTCCTAGAGACATGAAAGAAAGTGCCCTTTCTTTAAAAAGTTAAAAAATGATCACCCTCCCATCCTACCACTATTCTGGAATCAATATGGACCACTTTAAAAACTCCCTTTGCAACAGCCATCTTTTCAAAAGCTTTAGGTCGCTAATAAAATCCTGCCTAAAACCAATGAACCTGCTTGGATGGTTAACTCTTCAAACTCCTTCCACCTTTTCAGAAGAGGAAAGAGACCACAGACCCAACTGAGAGTCTTTCCTTTTTCCTCCCATATTACTGAAACACAGCATAGTTAAATTTCTAAGTTACATATCAGCATGAAATTCAATCACAGTTCTGTCAGAGACGCCACCAGAATTAACAGTTGGAAAGACTGGCAAATTTTCTGAGCAGAAAAAAAAGAGACACATACACATTCAATTAGTTAAAACCATAACATGCTGATAAGATTTACAAATCTTCAATAAGGATGGCTTAAAAACTGCAAGTCTTAGGAAGCAAAATTCTTAGTGATATCTGTGTTTTGCAAGAGACTAATATTTTAGCCAGGGACAGGCATATTTTGTGATTGTCCCGGTTCTCCTTTTACATGAGGAACAGGCACACGGAGAAGCATGCTGAGTTCTGACTGAGGCAGCGCTCCTGAGCAGGCAGCCCGAGGGCGGTAGCTGTGTCTCTAACCGTCTGACCAGCCTGGTGAGGCAATCAATCGGCCGGTTAGGTAATGCACTCAGCTTTACATCATCTGTGAGAACCAGCAACACAGGCCGCCTCCCAGGCTAGCGTTCTTAATCCTTGCATCGAACTCCTTTGACATGAAAAAAACAAAAAGGGGACACATCAATCTTGCTTTCTTAACCCACAATCTAACTGCACCGTTCTCTCCCTGTGCATTCCTTTTACAAAGAAATATGCATATAAGAAAAAGTATGCAGGAGACATCAAAAGCTTAACCCAATAAGTTACAGGCAGTCTAGTTTTTAAAACACAGCATAAAACAAAAGTTGAAAGAGACATTCTTGGATGAGCTAGTACCTGGTAGGGTGCAATCAATTTTTCATATTAAATCATTTAGCCTACTCAAGACAGCGCTTGCCACCTGAATACGTTTCCGCACTCGGTCTGCGATGTTAAGTCTTCCTTTTATGGAATGAAGCCAGACAACCCAATCAAATAATGGGCCAACGTCGTTTTCCCTTTGCAGGTAATCAGGGTTACTTCAGCACGTTGGGAATTTGGACAAGTTAGAATACCTCACTGAGTCAGTAGCGGCCTGTCTGGTGTCGCAGCTACAGTGCGCACAGAGCCAATTAGCGCCCAGCCGAGTGAAGTAAGTCTATCTAGTTCCTGAAAGACGTTTTATCTTTTGTCAACTCCGTAACAAAACATGTTTTTAAGTCAGAACACCTCCTCTCCGCTAACAAAAACACCGCGTTTCTACAAGTCACCTAACCGTGAAGCAGTGCACTTTATCATCGCCCCCAATGCCTGCGCCAAGCTGTCAGGCCCTTGCCCATTACAACTGCGAGCCAGCTCTTTGGCAACTAGGACAAATGTTTGCAGGAGGAGCGAGCAATCGCTGAACGCGCTGTGCCATGGCTCCCGGTGTGCGTCCCACCAACACGGCGGCCCCGGCACGCGGCCGTGAGGTCCGCGAGGGAAACTGAGGCTGCGCGCCCCAGTCACCCCCTTCCCACGACCAGCAGCCGGCGGGGAAGCTGGGTCCGGCCCCAGGCCAGCGCATCCGACAACTTCCTCAAACCACTCTCACCGAAAAGGACAACCTTCAAACTCCACGGGGCCTCGGATTAGGCTCGCCCGGCACCCCAAAGCGCTACCACCTTTTACTACTTTAGAAAAACAGCAAGGTGTAAGCCATCTAGCCTCTTTGAGAAACAAGGTGGGACAGGGCAGAGAAACAAAGTAGGAAGATGGAGAAAAGGGCCTACCCATGCACTCAACTTGAGACCTAGGGCAGCGGGGTGTACAAGTTAGCACTAACACAAAACCCACCAAGGAAACGAAAGGGTTGCAGCCAGCAGGTGGCTGGCAGACGTTAGCAGCACCGGAGCGGGGGAAGCTGTAGCAGCTGCTGGCCCCATCTCATTAAGCCTTACTCGGCTCACACTCCTCGCTCGTGAAAATCACCACTCGAAGCCATCGCAGGTGTTGGAGGGCGCGAGGGGCGGCAGGTGCCAGGCGCCCAGCCAGCACGCGAGGGGCGGCCTAATTGTTTCTACCTGTCCCCGGAGGTTTTCCCACTCGGGCCAAACTCTGCAGAGCTGTCCCCCGACCCCCACCCCGGCCGGGAAAGGGAGAGCCACCGTCGTGGTCGTCGCCAGCACCCAGGCTTCTTGCCAAAAGTCACCACACGCGCCTTATCGGCCCCAGCGGCGCCACCTCCAGCCCCCGCGCACTTATCGGCGTCCGCGACGTCTCCGCGCCCGGGGGGCCTCGCCGGCATGCTCACCTGCCCAGCTCCCGGCCTGGACTCAGGCTGTAGCTGTCCTGGAAGGGGTCGGTGCGGATGGCAGCGCGGATCTCCGTCAGCAGCCCGCGGGTCTGGGGCGGCGGCGGCCGGCGCGCCGCGCTCTGCCCCCGGCCGCCCCGGCCCGAGCCCGAGGAAGCAGCGGCCGACGACGACTCCCCGTTGCCCGGCTTCTCCAGGGGAATCATGGTGTGTGCGGGGCCGGGCTTCCTCTCTGGCCGCCCGGCTCGCCTAGAGCAGCAGCCGGATAACGGGCCCGCCTGCCCCGCCTGCCCCTGCCTCGTGCCGGCCCGTGCGCCAAGCGCAGCCGCCGCAACCACCCGTTCTCCACCGCGCCGCGCTCCGACTGAGGGCGCCGGGCTCCGGGACGCCCCGCCCCGCCGCTGGCCACGCCCACGCCCCGCCGCTGGCCACGCCCCGCCCCCGGCCCCGCCAACCGCTGGTCACATCCCCTCTGGCCACGCCCCGCACCGCCGCTGGGCACGCCCCTGCCCCACGCAGACACACCCCCTTAGGGAGCCCGGCGCCTCACAGGCGCCCTCTGCAGCCTAGGGGGAACAGGTGCAGCCTGAGGGGGCGCGCCTGGGCGGGGTGGGCGGCGCAGAGTTCCTAAAGCTGGAAGGGAGGAGGGTGCAAGAGGATCAGCAAGGCTTTCTCTGGGTGGAGTCGGGATGGGTGCTGAGGCCTCGATCCTGGCTTTTTTTCCCCAGGGGCCACACAGTAGGGTGGTATCCAGTAACTCCCCGAAAGGAGTTCAGAACCTGTGAGGGCCAGAAGGCTCTCTCCAAGGATAAATTCTTCGGGTGACTGGTGTGTAGGATCGGCTGCGGACCTGGCGCTCACCCTCCCCTACTGAACCAAGTTCCTCTCGGTTTATCTGGAGAGGCAGAGTGGCAGTGCTGTGTCCTTGGTACCCTTCTCTGGGAGGCTACTGCTGTATGCTGAGATGAGAGAGGAGTGGTGCAGACAACCCCTCGCTGCGTGGCTAGCCCTCCCGGGGCTCAGGCGAGGTGGTGATGGAATTGGCAAAAAGCATTGGACTTTCTTTCAAGGGAGGGTCAACAGGAAGGACTGAGATGAGACAAGCAGTCTGTGAAAATGATCGCTTGGGACGGCTTCCCTGGGGCCTGGGCTGTGTACACACGCAGCACCACCATGAGAAGAGCCAGCTTTCTGCAGTTTTGAGGTTGGAGGCAGAGAGAAACAGAGCAGCCTCTGGTGCGTGAGCTTCAACTCGTCCTTACGAGAGTCCTTCGTCCTAGTTCTCTCCTGTTCCTGATTCAGTCCCACAGTTGCAACACCTTTTGCATGTATTCATGTTTCCATAGCCACATGAGGTTAAAATCCCTGTAATAAACGCCTATTCCAATCTCTGACAAAAACTTACTTTCCAGACAAAAAACCTGTGCTGGGGCATGCTTGATATTAACACCCAGAACAGAGAGGCTCGTTAGGTAGTTGATGTTTTGAGCCAGCAACATGTTGTGGCAATTATTTAAAATATTCTTTGTAGTCTGCACATAGTCATTTTCTTGCAAATGTTTCAACGCTTAGAAAAAGTGCACATTTTCCATTTGCTAAGTTTTAGGGATCTCTACAAAATAGGTGGGGCATTACTTCTTCATGTATTTTGAGATGAGCTTTGCTGGGGATGAACAAAACCCTTATACGGTTAACTTAGAAATAAGCCACGAGGAGCAGCACTGTGACACAGTGGGGTGGCTGCTGCGACACCAGCATCTTAGAGTCCCACTGAGCATTTGACTCCTAGCTCCTGCCCTCTCAATCTAGCTCCCTCTCCCATGCATGAGAGAACATGTACTTCTCTCCATAAATCAACGGTCTGGGAGAATCTTATAAGCAAGAAAAGCAGTCATATTTCAATGTTGGGAGTCTGATCTGTGCCACTGAACATCATGCATTTTCTAATCAGGAACAACTTTCTCCAGGCCATCCGGGTGGTAGACTGTGGCCTGAAGACCCCGAAGAAGCCGTTGAACCTGTAGGCATTTCTGCAGATTTTTACTTGCCGTTACTACATAACGCGCACTCACAAAAGGAAGTCCAAGTGGCTTGTGTGTTGTTCGCTTAGGCATATCCCAGGAAATCACTAAAAAAGTGTTCTTTTATTCTTGGATGTGTGCATGCATACTGGGTCTCTTTGAAGAACAGTTTTTGGAGAAAGCTGTTTATCCTAGCATCAGGTAGACCGCTCTGTTGTTTCATGGCTTCTACCCAGTGGGAAAATGGGCATGATGCAAATCGCAAGGTAATGCCCTAGGCTTCCATGGGCAATAAGGGACATACACAGTGCCATACCAAAGTGAGTTTATTGACATTCCTTGAAGGTGGATGACGGGAAGAGAAAGCGAGGCCTGAGTTTCACGTGACATTTCTTTTGTTGATGTAAGCAAAATCAGCCCAATAATGTGGACTTCTCCTGCTACTGACTATAACAAAGACTTTTGAACAAAATTGTTTTCGACATTTCCTTAGATAAATAGGAAGCTGCAGGAAGTAGGCTAATGGAACAACAGTTACGCTACACACTACCTCTAGGCACCTTTTTTCCACTAGAACAAAGGGACTACATGTCACTAACAGGAAAATAACACTTTCTCTTTCGGACTTTATGATGGCTGGAACACCCATCCCAGACTGGTATGATATAGTATTGCAGTCGTTTTAATAATCAACACTGAAATATGTGATTAATAATAATCATAATAAAGCACCACATTTTTATGTAAAGTTCTAACTACTTTCATTTGAAAGTGTTTCGTCTTGACTGGGAAAACATTTGCGGCAATTGAGAAATTTTCTGAACCCAAATTTTGGACACATGGTTTGACATATGGGCTGATGGAGCAATTGATGTAAAACTATTCTAGAAAACTCAGCTCACTGATTCGCCATACACATATATTCACTGTTAAAGGACATGTGATCACATATTAAAAAAATATTAGGATCTCACACATTTAAAACTTTCCAAAAAGTCATATCTTTCTCTCTTTGATGACTTTCTCACCATCCTCCCAGTGTTTGTGCTACAATAATGATCATAGTAAAAATCTTTCACAGTCTCTGCCAGTTTATATAGCAAGGTACTCAAAAAGTTCATGGAAAATGTGTGTTAGGAAAAACTATTTATGGATTTCAAAAAAGGTTTTTTTTTTTTTTTGTTCGCACCAAAATAAACTTATCTTTCAATTGTTTTCCATGAGCTTTTTTTTTTTGAAGTACTGTCAGACATAGGAAATTATAAAGAATTCAGCAGATTTAGACAATTTCTCTTTTTTCTGCAATTTCTATTTTTGATAATCTTCATATTAGAGAATAAAATGTTTGCAACATTCATTAAAATACTGATATCTCGTAATTTTCAAAAGTACTTATTTAAGTTATAGCATAAATTTTTTCTTACGTATTGTTCTTATCTAAGGCCGTTATACTCTCTCTAAATCTAACTCTAAAAAAACGTTTAATTGACTGTGGCCTATAAGTGAGTAGTTTTGCAATTTGCCTACACACACAAAAAACTCATGTTTTAAATTAAAAATAGATGGCCGATGGTAACCAACTGGTCTGCCTTACCTGTTCCTGTTGAATTATATAATATAAGGCGGTTCATACCTCCACCTGGTAAAATTAATGGAATAATTTAGCTCCATAACTACTTCATTATATATACTGAAACATGAATTTTAAAATCTACATATTATATATATAAAATGAAAAATAATTTTAAAATGTAACTCACATGTGAGATCACCAGAATCTCTCCATATTGTTTTCTGAGCTCCTCTTGTCTTTGCTTCCCTTGTTTTGGGATTCTAGGCAAGGTTATAGTCACATCCTGGGGCCCTGGGCAGCGGGCCTGACATTCTTTCGTTGTCACTGACATCAGTGTTTCCTCATGGAGTTTTGCACTGTCCTGAAACACTGGTCAGGTTAGGCTTACTTGGATACATCTGGAGCCATAGCCTTGGTGCTGTTGCCAAATAAGGACAACTTGGATGAAAATACATTTATCCCAGGTTACTGATCTATATAGAATTTGTAAGACACCACACTCCTCCTTTCTATGGCAGAAAATATATTATTAATAGACATTCATATCATTTGTAAATCTTTCCAGGAGCAGGCTACCTCGTTTGTAATGTGTACCAAAACAAGAGCACTAAGAAAACAATTGAATGCTTGATAAAAATGAGTATTCAAATTCTGAAGACGAAAGCGGCCTTCCATACTCAGGATGTTGTTCAAAGAGTTAAATTATTCACGGAATGCTTGCATTATGATTTTATAAAGAAAGAACACATCCATTGGAATCTATTACTTTCCAAATGTTCAGCGGTGTCCTGAATTTTGCCAATCCCTCAATTTCTGCAGCATATAACCTACATATTCCATTCCATCTTGGTAAATAGTTCTCCATAACAATAATAGAAGGCTAAATTTCTGCCATACACACTCCCTGGTTGACAATGGGTGCTTTGCAGTACAAGGGTGCTGCGCTTTGCAAATAATTCTGAGTCAGAAGATGTTTTCAGAGTGAAAGGAGCCCAAAGAACGCACTGTCCAGAGACAAACTGGTCTTATGAGCCTCAGAGCAGGTAAACCTTGCCTTACATTTCTTACACGTTCCCCTTGTTTTAATACATTGAAAACAACAATGTGAAATGTAAATGCTGGAGTCTCTTCAGCTCTTTTCCCAGTGAAGAAAAACACTTTCATTTATGACATAATTCAGACAACATGGATAACAAGACTACAAAAATAGCAAATGACTGTTATGATTGGGTTTATTTGAAATGTAACTGAGATGTTAAGCTGTCTTTGGAGCCTGCAATTGTGTTTCTGAGAACACAAAATTTTCCAAGATATATATACATATATATATGTATATTACTTAATACTAAGAGAAAATGAATATTTTGACACAAACCAATGTGCCTTTGGGGTGCTGCGTTTCTTCCCCAGGAAGATTGGTCTGGAGGAAGGAGAAATGATCTATTGCCCTTGATCCCCAACAAGCACCATCACTCTCTAATCTCATGTCAGTGCGGTCCCAGGACAATCAGATGGGAAGGAACTTAAACACCAGGATTGGAGGAAAAAGAAAAAAAAAAGAAGAAGACACAATAAAGATCAACATCAAAGTTGAAAATAAAGTTTGTCAAGCAAGTAGAATGCGACTTTAACAAAAGTCATGAAATTATCTATACATTTTTTTTTTCTTTTGTGAAGAAAAACTGTCACTAGACTGTCAAAAACAAAACAGTGCAGAGACCGACATCCTTCCTTCCTCACTGCCATTGGCTTTACCACATCCTCTGCAACACCACAGGAGTTGAGGCCTGGTCCTTCCGACCGTGTCAGCCGAGGTTTCCTTCTTGGCCATGTGCACCTGTTTGTGCTTCTTGTGTGGTGAATATTCTGAAGGGGTGTGCCCCCTCTTAGACTTCTCCGAACTCAGGTTGAGCCTGGAATCCCCACGATCATTGGACTGTATGGCAGCAGCAGGTGTCCTTCTTGCTATTGTTAACTGTGAGAAGTGTCGTATTTGCACCATACGTCTAGGCTAGTTCCAGCTGATGAGACGGATGTCATGCGTGATCATGAGTTGAATGTATAAAAACTTCAGCTTTGCCGCTGCTGTCCCTTGGATGGATGGTACGCACAGGAAGGAGTGTGGGAAGAAAGCAAAGTGTGGAGCAGGTGCCGAGTTCTGGAGCTGGTTGTTGGAAATTACAAAAAATGGTGACTCTGCTCAGAAGAAATGGGTGTATAAAAGCTCGGAATACTTAATGCTCAAATTTCCCCTTAAATGATACAAATGGAAGTAAACATTAATTACCATTTGGTCAGATGTAGCATAACTTGCATTCATATTTCATTGTTGGTAATGGAGGTATGTGGAGTTATACACAGACCTTGAGACAGCTGTTTTTAAATATTGCATACAGGCTAGCAGTTCATTGAAAACAGAAGAGATAAGCCTGAAGGTTAGATCTTAGCAGAAGGCAGTCCCTCATGCACAGCTTTTGTCAATCCTGATTTGGTTTGGAAATAAAAATCATGGAATACCAAAAACAAACAAACAAAGGAGAGTTGATTAAGGGAGAGGAGGATGGGACATTATCTCAGAACAGGTGATGTGACTGCTGGCAGGGAAGTCATTAGGCGAGGCTGTGTTTCCTCACTCCAGTCCAAAGGTGCTGGTTTCTTCCACTGCCGTCAACAGCTTTTCATACAACATGGAGTACGAAGGGTATGGTGGAAGATCCAATCGGTTGAAGCATGTGTGTGCCCTGAATGGAGAAGAAAAAGTTGATTATGGAATTTGTTTCAGTGAAACAGCTGATGCTGAACATACCCGTGACTTGGGCTGAAGCTCTGAATCAAAAAGGAGTGGGACCAGGATTTTGGATCACGATAAAATGCTGTGAAGCCTTCTGTGTATGAATAGATGAGCTGAGGAAATGGAATCGCTAGAGATGAGTGGCTTGCCCTCATAAGCAAAGTGCACTACATTGGAACTCTAATGGTAAACTAATGGTAAACTCCATGGTAACATGCAGACTTTGCGATTGCAGTACGTGATGGGTTGAGCAGGGTTTGGCTCCTCAGACTCATGCAAGTTGTTTCAACTCTGAAGTTTTAGTGTTGAAGGTTAATGATTGAGGGTGGATCGCAGAGGTGGGGGAGGTCTTTGGATCACTCAGGTGTGTGTCTCTGAAGGGTGGTTCTTGCAAGGCATTTTGATCATCAAAGTTTGAGTTTGTCGTAGGCTTTCTCTTTCCTGGCTCATGATGTAATCATGGCTGCTGTGCTTCCCCATAATCAGCCTTCATTATAAGCTGGGCTACAGAGCTGACTTCCTATTCTATAACTTCAAACTGCAAGATTAAATAAACCTTTTCTTTCTCAAAGAAGCTCCTCTGCAGTATTTAATTTGGGGCAGCATAAGTGGACTAATACACTGTATGAATGTAAACATGGCTTAGTGAAGCGGACAGAAACATAAATCGTATTAAAGGATGATATTCCCAAGTCTCCTTGTCCAGCTCTGCTATTTGGGCCTACATAAACTAGTGGACCCAGGACGCCCTGGAATTTTCTGTTTTGAAATAACTTGTATGTTTGAAAAGGACTGCGAGCAACTGAGTGAGTGGATGAGAGACATGCATGAATGAATGAATGAACGAATGAATGAATGTTTGTTTTCTCTCCAAATGCCTCCCAGGGTGTTCACTAGCAGGAAGCGGGAATCAGAATCAGAACCATGAATCAAACCCAGGCACTCTGCTATGGGCTATGGATGGCTCCAGCATCATCCTAACATCGATGACAAATGCTCACTTCTGAGACTTAATTCTTCACTCAGATTTGCCTAGGGACAAGTCTGACTTCCCCAGTAGCATCCACACAGCCTCAAGCTTGAGTGCTGCATTTTCAAGAGAAACTAAGAATGTGACACAATCCTCCACAGGGGCTTGGAGCATCCTCTTGCCACCAATCCCGGAGGTCTCTTTTACTTTTGGTTGTGCTCACACCACAGGACATTCACCAGCAACTGCTCTATGCAAGCACTATCTTCCCTGCCACACCGCTAACACATGTACCAGGAACACCTTTGTGCATCTCTCTAGCAGTGAATATGCGAGGCTCAGCACACAGATCCCTCCGGTGGATCCTCAAATCACCAGACTAGCTGATCTATTGGGAGTCGGTTTTTATGGGAACTTTTGATGTTACTGAGCCTTATTCCCAATCAAAGGGAAGGTGGATGGGTGCAGCTCCCATTTTCCAAGATGCCCTTCCTTCCTAAGTAGGAGTGATCTGTTACAATGGTGTTTGGAATACCAGCCAGCACAGAAAAGGATTCCACAAGATCCCAAATGGTAAAATAAATACAAAACTAAGTCTAAACTCTATTCATCCTAACTTTGGAATCTTAAACTATTTAAATGACAAGCTCCCTCCAGGGCTCTGTACTTGTCACACCTCTCACGGGGCATCTCGGGGAGATGAGGAAGATAGAGTGGATAGCACATTTTCTAACCAGTGAGAAGCTGGAGCACCTGCTGCGGTGTTTGTCCACCAGGCATTCATCTACCGCCAGCTGGTGGCTTCCTCACTGTCCTTCACTGTTGCCCTTCACCTGCCCCTCCCTACCTCCAAGGGTGGGCACAGCACAATACAGCATCTGGCTAAGCTTGGCCTGAAAGCACCCAACTGGGAAGAAATGTAAATATCCAGGAATTAGCAGAGTTCTCAGGTTATCTGAATCCACGCATGTCCACATTGGATTAGCTCAAATAATTGAAACATTTGATCTATATATATTCATTTGAGTGAAAATGAAAAAGAACTGCATATTTGAATAGTATGTTGGGTAACACTGACAGTAACCAAATTAAATAAGGCTCAACAGTTCCAGATGCACTTCCAGAACCAACCAAATTGATTGTGAGATAGATAGGAGTATTAGCCCATAGCACCTAAACAGAAGGTGCACTAGTTACTGTTATGGGCATTTCTGGACAGATGCAGCTAACTCACTCAAATTCTGCTTTGTCGGCAGAGTGAATGAACACAATCAGATCACGCTGTGGTTCCAGATTCCGGAACATTCTGTTTCCCCCAAGTGTGGATCTGACAGCACAGAGCGCCTGCCTACCTCACTCCCTGTACACTAGATTGGCTGACGTCAGGCAGGCGTGGACAGTGGGGAAGGCATGGCACCAGGGCTTGGAAGACCTCTACTCTGATCCCAGTCCAGCCACACTTCAGCTTTATGACCCTGGGAAAGTCTGTTAAGCTTCCTCAACCTCAGTTTTCCCACTTGTAAAATGGGGATAATGATATGTGCTGTGTACACCTCAGAGGGTTATTGGCAGAATCAACCATGAAACACACATAAATGCCTTTCATAAGCCGTGACTCATTAATGAAACATAGAATTTTCTTAATAATGCAGCCAAGATCATGGCAAAGACTTCAGGGACCATGTCATACCAGAGTGACCTAAGATTCTGACTTTTTTTTCACATGACCTATTGCAAAGTGAATCCTCTTCACCTCATCCTGTGCAACTAACGATCAGGAGCCCCGCATGGATCTTCTCAATCACACGGTCAGATTCCACTGGGATGCAGATCTAGTGTGCCTGCATTTGGAGCAATGTTTGACTTGGTTGGTGCCCGTGTCACACTGTATACCCTTCTAATATGTACTGTCTGCATGGATGACCTCTCTGTGCCAGCCATTCCACCCCCCCTCGCCTCCCCAAAGTATTGATTCAATTGTTAATCCCTTGTTTGCTGCTGGTTGTTCAGGTATGTAAGTTGTGCCTTCCCTTCAGGCCTAACTGCAGCCTCCTGGTCTGGCTGTGAAGCTCATCTTCTCCAAGTTTGTCAGTAGCCTCTTGGTTCCCAGATCCATGTTCTTTCCTCACCAGCTCAAGCTTGTCACCTGGACTTGACTGGTCCTCCCCTTGCCTATCTGCGGTCTCTTAGTGGGCGGACGTTCTCTCTGTGCTCCCTGATGGTTGCCTCGGGCCTCCTGGGGAAGTGTTCCTCTCTCCTTGGTCACCGAGAGCTTTTCATTGAGCCCTGATAGCTGGGAAGTCTGTCCATCATATCCTTGGTCCTTGCCCTGCATGGAAACCCCTCAAGTCTCTCCTTTTGTTTTTCTTTACCCTGTCTCCACACTTCCCTGTGCTATATCTACTCTGATCTAACATCTATGCTTCTCTTTTCTTTCAAGCCCTTCCTGTTTCAATTAGCAACCTTTTTCAAGGTAGGGAAACTCCACCATCTCCTTAAGCTTCTTTCAGATGCTGTCTCATGTCCTTCTCCACCCTTGTGAGTGGTAACTTTCCCTTGTTGCATATTCCACAATGTGGACGTACCTCATTCTCACTCCTTTTGTTAGTTCCTAATCATTATTTTGCAACTCCTGTTTGAAAATTTTGGTTTCTTAGATTCTCATGATATTAGATACTTAAAAAAAAACTATAGGTTTTGATAGTTATTTCATTTTAGTGAAATGGGTTAGAGTACAAACTAGAGTGCGTTGTGGGTAATCAGATGAAGTACTGTGCTGAGGAACACATGCACACGAGTGAGGACCTGTGTGTGTCCTGGGCTGTGGTGTGATGGGTGTTTGCTTCTGTAGGCAATGGTTTAAACAGCTTGAACATCGCGATCTAGGTGTACCCACATCCCCTCTGATTCTGTGACATTCTAACTTAGGACATTTGCTAAAATCTCTGGCACAGAGCTAAACTCTCCCCTTCCACCAGATCATGCATCAGGAATGATTCATCTAACACCTTGGCCTCAGCCCCAGTGACAGGCCCACCTCTCCTACCTGGACTAAGATGGTATGGGAAAGGCTTTACCAGGCACTGTACAATTATGGACCCTAATCAGTATGCTCAAAGATCCCTTTTTTCTTAATCCTCTGTCACACAAATTTTAAAAAGTGAAAACTGGAGCTAAAGTAAATATTTAATGTAGCCTGGGCTATGACCAGCTTTCACTGTGACACTATCTGGCACCTGTGTTAGAGAAACCAGTTGCCTTTCCTGTCTGTATATGGAAGAGCTGGGGAAAGGTCAGGCCAGGCCACCTGCCCTAGGTACGGACCTAGTGCACTGTGGCCCACAGCGTTTGGGAAGCCCTGAGTCACTTAAATCTGCTTTGTTCACCTGCCAGCCTCATAATTTCCTGATGCCTACATGTGGCCTGGTCAAGTCTTTCATCTACTTTTTATCCTCAACACATAGGTGATATCTTAAAGGCTCTTATGTCTTGAGCACATGTTTAAGGGAGAATGGTCAGAAGTCACTATTCAGTGGATCATTTTACTGCCCTCTTAGTTGCTTTCTTGGAGCCCCCTTGTTCCAGGATAAAGTCTCTGTTCCCCCCAAAACCCATGTCCTGGACCAGATGTGAGCCAAATGTTGACCTCATAAGCTGTTTGGCCTAATAATGTGAATATATATTTCAAAGCTCCCAATACAAATATGTAAATCACACCGATTTTGTGACCCCGAAATAACAAAAGCAATGACTCTAGTTCCCCATAGAATCAAACAAAGACTGCTCAGCAGTATCTTTTTCTGGTTGCCCACCAACCTCTTTCTCAATGGCATCCCCTGTGATGTCATCAGGGATATCATATTTTCCATACTGGCTCAGTGATCCTTCCTGAACCTTCCAGAACATGCTCATGCTGCTCTTTCAGCTTGGAACTCCCCCTTGCCCTACTTCTTGCCTCCCAGTGCTCACCTAAGAGCCAGTTTCTTTGTGGTGGCTTGCCTGGGCACCTCAATCAGGATGAGGTCTTTGTTCCATATTCTCACAACACAGCATGTTAGAAGAAGATAATGTTTTCTTCTGTTTGTTGAAGCTGTATTTATTCCTATAGAACTTATACAGAAGTAGCTCTTTAGTGCTCCTAAGAGTCACCCAAAGTGGCCTAGAAAGAACCCAGGAAGTGTTGGGATTAAAACTCATGGCATGGGGAATTTATTCTATAAAATCTGCTAGAGTCCCAGTGCTTCCTTTTCCACAATTGGTCTCACAAACCATTTTCTTGACAGCTTACTACATAGAAGACATTTAGTGACCAAGAGAGATCGACATGATCTCATCCTCAGGGGTCTTCAAACTTGGTAAGGAGCTATACCACATGTATGATTGCACAACCATATAAGTGATGTGCTGGACAAGGGCATATATGCTGCTGTAGGGTTTCCTGGGGCTTCCTCCATCTTTACACCACTGTCCTTACCTTCCTCCTCCCCCAAATCAGACATTCCTCCTGAAATTAAGTTTTGTCCTGTACCAGTTAGAAACCTTCCCATAACTGACACATGCAAAGAAGATGATCTTGATAAGAACGTGGTCTTCACATATCTCAGACACTTCTACACCTGTTACTAATAACTCAGATAATAATACCCTGAGTGCCAAGAAAGAATTCCATCCCCAAGGCTAAGCACATAACCCAATGCACTTTTCCCTCCTCAGTGGATTTCCCAAAGGTTGGCAGGACCTCTGTACCTGGGGAGAGATGTAATTTTCCCCCACTTCTCTATGCAGAAACGCCGGAGCCCATTGCTTCCTCGGAGGGCTGCAAAGCCTTCGTAGGGCACGCTTGATGTTCCTGTGACAAACTGAAGTAATCTTAGCCTTTGCTCGTTATTGAAGCGCTCTACTGCTGCCCAGAACCAGCGGATCACAAGATGTCCATCGTGATAACCTGGACAGAGCAGAGGGAGGGAGAAATGGGGAGAGATGGAAGGGAGGAGAGGAGAGAGATGGTGAGACATGTACATCAGATCAGAGACCATCAGACAGGGAACAGCTGCTTCTGATATGCTCGTCTCCCCAGGGAGGGATGGCCTTTAGACAGATGGACCTCATACCTTCTGTGTAAGGTTGAATTTTACAACAAAAGATGAATTAGAACATAGCTGTTTCACAGAAGGATGTTATACTCTTTGCAATGTTCTCGGAGACCTTTGCTTTGTGGTTAAGCAACTGCCTATCTACTTGAAATGACTGTAGACTGAAAGTAGAAAGGTTTGGGTAGAGATAAGCCCTCTAAGCATACAACACACCATCCTGACTTCTGTTCTGGAGGTCTGAGGCTTCTTTATGGCTGAGTGCACCCCAGGAAGATGAGTGAGGCCATGGGTGTCCCCAGTTCACCCTCTTGCTGGGGATTTTTAAAAATATTTTACAAGAAGGAAAGGCTTTGAAGCCAAGACTAGAAACCTTTGAGAGAGAAGATGGGTAATGCAAATGATGTTTCAGAAAGTCAGATTTGACAGTGTGCAAAATGAACTGCACAGAAGGGTTAGAAATGATATGCTGGAGAGACCACAGGGAAAAAAATGTGGCCAGCTAGGGTGAAGGTAAAGAGGGTTGATTCTACAGGAAGCTGGCGACCCTTTCCTGATAGCATGTGAGGCACTCAGGAGCTGGCCCATGGAGGGGTGTGCCCTGAAAGCTTCTACTCTGAGTCAGGCCAGGGATGACTGCAACCGAGGGAGCATTCAGGCTCACAGGTGGAGAAAAGCATGTGCAAGCACCTGCTCTCCATGGAAGTGAGGCCAAACTTTCTCTAACCTTGAAAAGTGATGAATGATACAATTATAAATATTCTATACTTATATACATATATGTACATATATATGGCATATATATTCAGTTATAAAATGCAATGAAGTACTAACATACCCCAACACAGACGAACTTAACCCTACCTAGAAAAGACATCCATAAAAGGCTATACTTTGTATGCATTGTAAGCCTTACTATAGTTTTATATTATTGCATGAGCCTTGTTAGTGTGTGTATATATATATATATATATATATATATATATATATATATATATGCGTATATATATGGTGCACATATATACATATAACAAAACAGATATAACAAAGCAGGTAAATGCACAGATACAAAAAAAAAACACAGATTGATGATAGCTGGGTGGGAAAGAGGAGAATAAGGGAAGGGACAGTCACTATTTCTTGGGTTCCCTGTTGGGGTGATGCAAGTATTTGCAAAAGAAGCTAAAAGTAATGGCACAGCACTGAGAATGCACCAAACTCCATGGGTTACTTCCCTTCAATGTCGTATGTCATGGTCAATTTCACCTTCAACTGAGAACCCTTTAAATAAAATCCCAACCGGTTCTTGAGGTGGTTGTGTTACCACAACTGGTGCCCGCTCACCTCCTCGGTACTCAGTGTTATTCCGCCAGTCATTTAGGTCAATTTCTGCGGTGCCAGCTATCACCAGCTCCAATTCCCTGGCATCGAACACAGACACGAGCCTTGAGTCCACAACCTGAAAGAATACAGATCTTGTGACCTGAAACAGCTTAAGCCTCAGCACGCAGGCCTGAGCACACCACAAGCTGTGCTGATGATCATGATCTCCGTGCATTAAAATGGGAAACTGACCACCACATGCAGTATTCTGTTTTCAATATGTAATCATAGTTTTAAGAGATTTATTGATCTATTTGAAAAACAGAAACACACATGCATACACACAGATCTCTCTCTCTCTCTCTGCTGGTTCCATTCCCAATGGCTACCATAGCTAAGGTTGGACCAGGCTCAAGCCAGGAGCCAGGAGCTTCGTCTGGGTCTCTCATCTGTGTGACACTGGGACATCTTCTATTGCTCTTCCAAGGCCAACAGCAGGGACTCTAACTGGTACCCATATAGGATGATGACATCACAGGTGGTGGCTTTGGCTCCTATGCCACAGCATCAGCCCTCACATCGATTCCTTTTTGAGTTCAAGATCATTCTGGTGTCTGAATATTTCTATCCCCCTCAATTTTATGCTGAAATTTTCACCTCCTTTTGGGTGAACAGCCCTCATGATGGGCTCAGTGCCTCTACTAAGGAGCACACATTCCTTCCACAATGTGAAGGTACAGGGACAAGTTTCAGCAGACACCTGTCAACCAGGAGCAAGTTTCAGCAGACACTGGACCTGCTGCCACTTTAATTGCAGACTTTTGGGCCTCCAAAATTGTGAGATATATGTTTCTGTTGCTTATAAACTACCTGGTTTAACAACTTATGGTACTGTGTGACAGTGCCCTGAACAGACTGAGGAAATCACCGACTTAGACATTTTACAACACAGGCCTTCATAAGCTGGAAATGTCATCAAGATTCCAGGCTTTTTCCTTAATTTCTTCTAAGGGTGATGTGATAAACAAGTCTGGCTCGACTTCCTGATGCCACAGTGAAGTTTCCAAGTAACTTCATATTTGAAACGCAATGACTTGGCCGCAGTGACTTGACAGCAACTACACATCACCATTTCACTTAAACTCTGCTGTCTCATTCTCATGAAATTTTCCAGGACTGGACACTGTATATCAGAGTTACGGCACTTTTGTTTCCGCTCCTCTCCCCTCACTTGCGTTCTTCCTCCTTGAAAACTGTGGCAGGATCAGCCTTCTTAGGGCTCAATGCTTCTGCTTGGCATCTTGTGCCAGGTGCAAACGGGCACCTACAGCAGCACCTCCCTGGTTAAACCAGCAGTAGATGGGATGGTTGCTGATGTCCTGCCCCAGGACAGCAGGGAGAAAGAGCCTTGGCTCAGGATGCAAGAGCTAAGAAAATGTTTATGGCCAGGTGTTTCTAAACTGGAGAAATTTAAGCCCATCATTTTCTGTACATGAAATCCAGTCCCTGTCATTGTCTATGATTTTACCACTCAGCCTGTATTACGCTACACGAGATGATTCTATAAGAAAACATGGGCAGTGTGCCACCTCCCCTTCACTTCCCTCAGACTTGGTTCTAGTGGGCAAAAGGAAACATGCTCTGAAAGATCCAGATGCTGGGTCTTTCAACATCTGGCACACAAGGATTACTCCAACATCAGTTTTTAGTGAGAATTTTTCATCAATAAGAGGTATTTGTAACTTCTCAACCATCTACCCAAAGCAGGTCCCATCTGCCCTCTGGTGAGGAGAGCTGAGCCCCTTGCCAGCCTGGGCTAGTGCTCTCCTTGCTCCTCACGGGCATGGTGCCGGCTCCTCTGGGGCTCCCTGAAGAGCGGGCACCTCACACTGAAGACCTTGTGCACATGGGTCCGGGCCTCACCTCATAGAAGCCCCGCACCAGTGCCTCGGTCTGCTGCACCACGCCACGCTCCACCCGCCACTTCACCATCCTCTCGATATACTCTTTTTTGTTCTTCTCTGTCACCTGCGTGTTGGCACCTCCTGACTTCAGCTCTCTCTCCGTGACCTAGAAGGAAAACCATGAAGACCAGGGTGTTTGGCAACTCAGCTCACCTCCCAACGACACCGACTAACTCTGGCAACAGGGCTTGATGCCAGAAATGCTCCTTGCACAGCTTCAGCATCATTACCTCCTCCAGTCTGTGTCTTTTCTTAGAGGTCACTGAAAGACTAGCTGATCCAAGCAGAGTTTTAAGCACCTCGGAAAAGCTAGCTTTTGTTTTAAAAAGAGGAAACACATTCTCTTAATGCCAGGGACATAATGGCTAGAAAAGGGAAATGCTTCAGGTTTCCCTGATGGTGATACCAAATGTCCCCCAACAGCCTCCTCCCAAGTTTCAGGTTAAATTTCCAACAGTCCCCACTCCCCCCCGCCCCCCCGCCCCTTTCACAGATGACCAGAAGCAGCCATTGAACAGAGAGCACAAAAGTGGTACTTGTGGCCAGGCTGATAATAGAGGTGGAAGGATGAGGCCCCAACTTGATGCTCAAGTGCAGCGAGAATAGCATCGCACTTCACAGGACAAACTTGAGTCACCCAGGAAAGTCAGGCTGTGCATGATATCTCCTCAAGGGCAAGAAGACCAGTGACATGTTAGGTATTTTTTTTCTAAAGTGTGTGCTGTTTCAAAGGGGTCATCTTCAGGCATCTTAAACATCACTTAGGGCAACTTACTGCTCTATGCTATAAGACTTAATAAGGTAGTGTATATACACACATATATTTGGCATTTTCAGGCACATGTGCTTAAAAATAAATTAGTCCACGAGAAGTGTGAAGATGGGGTGGGTGCTGTGGCAGCCCCTGTTAGTAATGCTGGCATTTCATATCAGAGTTAATGCACCAGGCAGAGCAGTGAATGAAGTTGCAGGTACTGAGGCTCCTGCTACCCATGTGAGACACCTTGGACAGAGTTCCGTCTTCCAAGCCTTGGCATTGGGCCACTCCTGCCTGTTGTGGGCATGTGGGGAATGAGTCAACAGACAGAATATCTTTGTCTCTCTCCTTCTCTGGCTCTGTTTTTCAAATGAAGAAGTAAATCTTTAAAAATAATAATAATAAAAAAGAGGTCTGATAGTTACTTTTTCTTCTGTAACTTGGGGGGGGCAGTGATAATTAGAAAATATTGGTCAATTATAAAATCCGAATTGCTACCTAATATCCATATTTAGTTTCTCAGTGAAAGACTTTATTTCTCAACCCAACTTGCAGCCAGGCATGGTAGGCAACTAAACCATGTCAGTTAAGGTGTAGGCAGAAGTGTCACATGACATTTCCTAGGGGGCTCTTGAAGAGCAGGCTCTATGTATTCCTGTGTCTTTGAACTTGAGTGTGAGGGTTTGGACTCAGCACACACTGGGCCATGAATCCAAGGGATCCTAGTGCTCTGATCAGGAGGGAGTCTGCACCCTGGGGATTTCGTCACAGTGTACTCCTGAGCCGCCTTTGATTGGCTGCCTCCAGACTTCCATGCAAGAGAAAACTCAACTGCTAATTTCAGTACCGACATTTGGGGCTCCTCACTAGTGGCTGAAGCTAATCCCAACACACCCAGGGAAAGGCTGAGTCTTTTCTTACGTCTATCTGCTTTCTGCTAGCTGAGAGTGTTCCAAAGAGGGCTGCTATCCAATTTTCCAAAATGTAAATTATTGCTTTTGATGATCTCATTTTGAGAAGAAAGGGGGTAAAATTTAAGTGATATCAATTTAGATCCACAAACACATCCTTACTTTTTAGTCACTGGGAACATTCAAACTGTTCTCTGTGCATACACAAAGCATTGTTCTTTTGTGTCTTTACCATTATTTTTCATCTAATTTTACTTGTATGTAATTTATTTTGTTGAGTAGATAATATGTGAACATGGAATGAAATTCAAGTGGAATAAAAGACAATAGTGGGAAGATACGTTTCTTTTTCAACTTATTCCAGCCATATAGTCCCCCATCTGAAAAAAAAAAAAAAGAAAAAGAAAGAAAGAAATCTCCCGTATTCCCTTCCAGGGAGATTGTCAGTGTTTGCTAGGGAACATGCATCTAGTTAAGTACCAATGGTTCAGTCAACAACGTACCAGTTCAGACAGCAGTCCCATGAGTTTATAATGCAGTTGAAAATTTTGCATCATCTAGGGACATTGCAGAACAATGCATTACTTCTGCATTTGCGGTGATGGTAATAAGCAAGTCCCCTGTTATGCCAGTTGGATAAAGTTTAGCATGCATGACTTCACAAAGAAAGAAGAAAAATTTGTTTGCCACAGTTGCTAGGTATACAACACTTGATACACATGTATAATATGTGATAGTGATAATAAGTATTATTAATAATTATGCTATAAACCTTCTACATAAAAAAGTAGTTTGTGTGGCAGACATTCAGTGCAAGATAACACTTGGATCATTTACATGTCATAGTGGAGTACCTGGGCTTGAGTCCCAGCTCTGCTCTTGGTTCCAGTTCCTGCTAATGTATATCATGGGAGGCAGCAGGTGAAGATGGCCCAAATACTGGGCTTCCAACATAGGACACCTGAACTGAGTGCTGGGATCCTAATTTTGTCCTGGCCTCATCCCTTGATGTTGCAGGCAAGAAGAGGAAGGGATATCTCTCTGGTTATTTCCACCTGAATTTTTACAATGTTAGATTTCTTTAAAAATTAAAACCACCAAAAGGCTCTGTAAAGCAGTGTGCTGTGACAGACAGGCAGCGGCCCCATCCACTCTCGTGCGCACTGTGCCTCTGACTGCCTGTGACTGGTGGGCCAACTACGGCGTGTCACGACACTCTATGGCACCTGCACAAGGACAAAAATCCCTGGATGAAGCATTTCTCATGTATCCCTGTTGAGTGGGATATAACTACAGCAGCTCTCTCCACCCCCACAAATATTAGCCTATTAATATAGAAACTATTCTTCTTCACTTTTTCTTCTGAAAAGTACAATTGATCAATTATTTTATATCAATTTAGACTTGCTGTGTTCTTTAACTGTTACTACACCCTGGTAGTTGTTCATCTTTGCGAGTGAGCTGATGGGCGGGGGTGTCTCTGACAATTTATAGCCACACAGGAGCCCACTATCCACCGTATAGGTGTGTCAGTTATTTAGCTAGCGCTATCCCAGTGAAACGGTGGATAAAGGGAGACGTCTGTCCTGATTCATGTTTTTACAAATTGCAAATGAGCATGATTATTTAACCGTAGTTCCATTTCTTAGAACTACATATTCTTCACTAATTTTCTAATGAATTGCTGGCTAAATGAGTCTTATTGATGTGTGGGATCTTCTCCAATATGAAAGGAAATAGTCTTTTTTCTTTTACATATTGCAGTATACTAGAAAACCTGCTACTTTTATCCTGGCATTTTGTTATGTAGAATCTAAAAGGTAATGTTAGATTATGTCACTATTTTCTTCCATGACGCTGAGGGGTTGTATCCTGTCTTCAGCATCATCCTTGGCTGCAAGATTAAAAATAACATTCTTTCTGCTTCATTCCTTTCTTCTTGTTTCCTCTTCCTTTCTTCCCTTCTCCCCTTCTCCCTTCCTCATCTTCGCTTTCGTTCATGCATTCAGATTTTTTGAACTAAACATTTTCATTTTTCTGTTGTAATTGGAGTTTGCTTCAGTGTAATGTGTAAGGCTGGGGATGTAACATAAAACTTTTAAAGAAAGACGCCAAGCTGTCTTAATGCACCTTGTTCAAGAATTGTGTATATTTCATAAATTCAGCCTTTGTCACTGGGTGATGTGAAGGACAGGCTCAAAGTCGTCACGTCCCATGAGTAGTGTATTTAGTACAAAGCAGGCCAGTTAACAAGCAGCATACACTTGAACATATTTAAATGTGCTTTCTACAGTTGGGAGAAACGGTGTTTCCTCAAAGTTGTAAAAGAGCCTCTTGCAGAGGTCTGCTTAGCCAAAGGGAATATAGTGAGATACTGATGCTCTCCGGAGCCCAGCCAGGATTCTGGGTTGCAGTGTGGGTGCCGAGCGGTCAGCAGCAGGCGGTGGGCAGCTCTCACCCACTTACTCAGCACACAGCCCACATTCATACAAGGTGCTCATGAAGTCAGTCACAACCCCACCCCAACTGCCTCAGGCTTTGGGGGCTCCTGCAAATGAGCTTCTCAAAACCTTGGTTGTTACCAGGCTCAGGCTGCGATGCTTCCATTTTCTAAGACACTAACTCATCTGCTTGAAAGAGATAATGCTAGATAAGTGTAGGACACAAGTAGGATGCTTTATGGTATCAAATATTATTGAAATGCAAGCATCTTTAAAGGATGAATGCTGTATGTATAAAAAAGAATTCCTTTTGTTCCAAAGATAATAGAAATACTACACATGTGTATGGAATATGTCATTAGAATGCTGATTTATTATTTCATATAGTTTTCAAAAAACTCCATGCATAGGACTACATCATGAAATGAAAAATGCAGAGGGCAAGATGAGGAGTTGCAAAAGGAGACAGCCCCCCTCTTTTATCCAGTTTAAAAGCAAAATCCCATTAAAGTGTGAACTGCTCAGCTCATTTCTCAGTATAACTAATAGGACTGAAAGCAAGGCCTGGGACATATATTTGATATTTGTACACCTATGTTCATTATTTGTAATAGCCCAGGAGTAGAAAAAAGTATTCAGTACCACAGCAGATAAATAAAATGCATCAAATACATCAGTGATGTAATAGTACTTAAAAGAGAAGGCAATTCTATCATAAGGACGTTATCATATATGAAGTAGCTGAAGTGGTCACTTCCATAGGGGCAGAATGTAAAGTGGTAGCTGCCAGAAGCTGGGATGTAGGAATGGAGAATTATTGTTGAATGGGGGGTTTCAGTTCTATACGATGCAAAAGTTCTGGAGACAAGAGGGCCAGAAATGGTAAATCTGCTTAACAATATGGAGTATGTGCTTAAATAGTAAGATGATATATTTTATGTTAAGTGCTTATTAACCTACAATAATAAACACCTTTCCTTTTCCAAGCCCCATTTCACACAAACCTGTCCAAAAACCTCTTCATTAACAGTGAAGGTGAGGTCTAGGATATCTGTGATATTGTTGTCCTTCATCCACTGCAAGCTCTGATGGAATTCCTCATCCAGATATTCCAGATCACTCAAGTCACAAGGCCTGGGTGAATTCAAAGGGAACAAGGCAAACAGTTATCAAAGAAATGGCCACCGAGACCTCCTCTCAAAACGTGGGTACGTCACTTCTGTCTCAGACGTAGCAGACTTGTTCTAACAATTTGAAAGTTCTAAATGTACCAGAGAATCAGATCCTTCAATATTTTTCTAATTTATTCATTTTATTTTGAAAGGAAATGTGGAAATATTTATAATGATAAATAGGAAATACTTAATGATTCATGGACTCTTTTCCATTGGAGAAAAAGTATTTTACAACCAGATAAACAGATTATTTCTACTTAACAGCTTAATGTAATGTTTGTATTGTTATTATATTTTTACATAAACCAATTTATAGTCAATTTTTTATTTTTAAATAAATGGACTTATGACATGATGTTCTGAAAGTAGAATTTTCGCCCATGCCTACCTGCAATGTCCAAAGATCTTTTCATTGTCCTATATGGTGTTTGTGATCTAAGAACAGGACATGAGCAGAAAAATGTACAGAATGGTTGGGGCAAAACAGGGGAAGAACCACCCAAAAGCACAAGCAAGGACAGGCCCAGAGTCCAGCAGACGGCCAGGTGGACGGCACTTACAGTCTCAGCAGCGCCTTGTAGAACGGCCTTGTGAAGAAGGCGTCCAGAAGGTACTGATGGATCAGAGCCAAGCCTAGGATGCGCCCGCTGAACCTGAACCTGGAACACAAATGGTGCAGAGAAATGTAAGTCTTTGGGGACTGATGCTGTTGAATATTTTTAGCTTGTTTTCGACTTATTTCTTCTTTGCTTCCTCTCACTTCCCTTTAGCACCTTATAGAACCTTCCCATTGATGACGGGGGGAGAGGGGCAGGCACACATTCTGTTCCTTGTTATGTTTTACCATAATCAGTGCTTTTTTTTTTTTTTGCCTGAAATGTACTAACGGCACTTTCCCAGGGACCCTGACTCTCTTCTCAGAGTTGGGGCATGAAAGAGTGCAAAGCACCATGAAGAGGCACTCAGGAACTTAAAACAGTCCACATTGACCCTAAGGAAGACTTCAACCCCCCCACCCCCCGCCCCACACACGCACACAAACCATCTTCCGGACACTGAATCCTTCCCATTCAAGTATTCTATGTGTGTATGCATCACCTGACGCATACCCACCTCCATGCTGGGAGGTGACGGATTTCAACACAAACCACAAGTGACAGTTTTTCTCACAGACAGTTGGGAAGAGCTACAGGAAACCACAGCGTGATAAGTGAAGCAAGCACCGCTACTTAACACTGCCAGCCACACAAAGGAAGGACAAGGTATTTGTGGGGAAGAAATAATCACGGAGACCCCCAGATGCAGGGCTCTCTGCCACTCTACTGATTCACCTTCTGACTGGGCACTTAGCCTCCTGGGATTGCTGATGGCATTCTGCTAAGCTAAGTGCTGACGCCATGTGGAGTCTGATCCCACCATCACCCTCTCCTAAACCAGTTTCTTGTCTGCCTGGCCTAACACCTTGTGGTTCCCCTCGACATGGGATTGCTCTCTCTAGGACCTCTCTCCACAGTTAGGGCCCCCTCTGTTTCCTAATTAGATTTCACATAAACATGGACTGGCTTTGACTTTCTGAGATCCTCACAGGTACAATTTCCAACAAGCACAATTCCATTGCTTTTGATGAAGCTTTTGTTTGTTTGTTTGTTTTAGACTCAAAAGACTGCATATGTGGTATAAGAATGTAAAATGGATAGGTTACCTGTTTCACAGAATAAACATAACTATAAATGACAATAATTGAGATGGAAATGTATGTTTGAGGCACTCTGTGATTTTTGCATGAATACACCAGTGTTGATGACTCTGCAGAGATTACAAGCAATCAGCAGCTCATGCAGGTGCCAAAGGAAAGTGTGGATACAGGGGCTCACGGGCCCATCAAGGGGCTTGCCCACCAGAGTTTTATGTACCTGCCAGTGCTCTTTTCTGAACATCCCAGTAACTGGTTCCTGACATGATCACCACAGTCATATGTCTTCAACTCCAATACTGGCCAACCCAACCTTGTACATGAAACTGAAACAGAGGCGTCCAACATGATGGTGACTGCATGGCCAAGTAGGTGCAGGTGACTGGGATTCTCCAAACAGCGATATAGAAAAAGGTGAATACAAAAGTATCTAGCCTAGAGCCCTCCTCATTTAGTATTGGCCCTTGAGGGTCTAAAACAGAGGCTTGGTAATCATGACAGGTAGCAAGAACAGATACAAATTACATGAAAATATTAATTAAAAATGCTATTTTTAGTAAAATGATACAAAGTTTATTTTTTCAACGCATCCAAATGTGTTGAAGAAGTAGATAACCGAAATAAACTAATCACCATGGTGTCAACTAGAACTAGAGGAAGAAGCACTGCCTTTAAAATGTAGGTGGGGGACCAATGTCTCGGACACCACTCAGTGCACCTGCAGCCCGTGTCACAGTGCCTGGTTGGACTTGTGCCTCTATTTCTGATCCAGCTTCCTGTTTATGTGGACGCTGGGAGTCCCCAGGTGACTTCCCTAGGATCCAGGTCCCTGTCACCCACAGATTTCCTGACGTTTGGCTATGACTTGGCCCAGTATTGCCTGTTGCAGGCACCTGCAGAGTTAACCATAGGATGGAAGGTCTCTGCCATTCACATAACACAAAACATGAATAAATGAATCTTGAGGTTGGAATTGCATGTAATTATATATTTAAGGTTGCATTTATTATATATTAAAATCTATCTTTTTATATATTAAAACTAGAACTTATGTGTCCTTTCTCATGTTTCAGGTAACAGAAAAGATCCCTGTATTGTGAAATGTTTTCCTGCCATTTTCATTCCAGAAAAATGGGAAACTTCTTAAATCATCATGGTGAGCAACTATAATCACAAAATGGAATCCAGAGATGACCACACATTAAAGAAAACGTAAAACATGAACTTGTGCATAGAAAGATCCTGAATGAAAAACATGAGAACTGAACCTGTCAATTCATTTCTAGGACAATGCAAAGTGTTTGAGGATGCTGAATTTTAGGAAACAAAGGATAGCTTAATATTAGGAATTCTATTATTAAAACTAGTTTTGAGGCCAAAAAGACAGGGAGGAGGAAAGTTAATAATATTCGTTACTTTTCAGGAAAAAAACAATTCTTCACAATAAACCTAGAAGAACAAATCTTCAACAGAATAAACTCTAACTCAGCAAAATATGTAATGATGCAAACATGAAAGGTCGTTGATTATCACTTCTCTTCACAATGTTCCATCAGTTCTAGTTCCTGTAGTTACTTACAAACAAAAAGTTGAACAATGCACAATAACTCTTAGTGAATGCCTGTTTGGTCAAGGAATGTTACTTATAATACCTCATTAATCTTGGCAACAATCCTCTTGTGGTTGTTGTTATCTCTGTCTTGCAGGTTAGGAAACCAAGGGTCAATAGTTTGCCCCAGGCAAAAGGTACAGTGAGGAAACCAACCCGCACCTGCCTGACACCAAGCCAGCTCTTGGTTTCAAGGAAGAACTTAAACAATGGAGAGGCTACTATCTCTCTGGTTGCTGGGGCCGCACTCCTGGGAAAACATTCTCTAAATGCCGCCTGTTCCTGCTGTATTATTTTATGTTGGCCACTAACATCTCCTGTGCTGCTTAAAAATCTTTTGGTTCACAGAATCTTCAGCTGAAGCTAAGGGAGAATCCAGCACGGGTTCATGGTGGTGTCTCAGGAGATCCAGGCAAAGGAGCAGAGTCAGGCTGCAGGCACATGAGGGACACAGGCGACCGCTCTCTGTCACTCAGCTTCTCTTTCCTTCACTCTCCCTGCAAACAGTGAGAAAGCCCCAGGAGACCTCTTGAGTCTTTCTGACCTAGATCCAAATTTCTTTATTTTCCTTTTAATATATATTTATCTGAAAAGGAGAGAGGGAGAGGGGAAAAGAGAGGTGAGAAAAGAGAGGGAAACAGAGAGACGGTGCATTTGTTGGTTCACTTTCTAAATACCCATAGCAGCCAGAGCCGGGCCAGGTCTAGAGCCAGAAACTGTCTGGGTCTCACACGCAAGTTGTAGGAGCCCAGTACTTGAACCACTCTCTGCTGACTCTGGGTTCTGTATTACCAGAAGCCTAGAATTGGAAGCAAAGCCAAGAATCAGGCTCAAGTTCAAGTATCATGATATGGGATGCAAGTGTTGCAAGCAGCGTGCCATGTATCTGGAGATGAGTCCACATTTCCAGCACAGCTCGCTGTTGTAATGCGGTTGGATGGTCACCCTGGATCAGTCATGAGTACCAGGGGGAAGACAGTGGAATCTGGTGTCTTACTCGGTTCTTTGCTGCCAGCTCTCTTTTCGCTTCTCTTTTAAACTTGGACTAGAAACAGACAGGGCGCAGGAGACGGGGTTTTCCTTAGGACAGGGTACCGCAAAATGGACCACCAACAGAGAGCCTGCTTATTTGCTTTGAGTGGGGGTAGATCACAGGATGAAATTTCTAAGGACAAAATTTCAATGGTTTCACAGCTGATGTGGGCAATGAATAGGCCCTAGATCCATTTTTCTGTAACTGTACAAGCAAGCTCTGATAATTTGCTTTGGCTTTATATAAACACAGACAGAATGGCTCTTGGCCAGCCCAGGATACACAGTAAAACATACTCTTGAGCAAAGAACTATGATATGGAATGTGTTTATGTAAAGACACAGCAGCTGCACGACCCAAATCCAAAACAATAACTTGACAAGGATGGATTGGAATGTGAATCTTATACCAGTGGACGAACTGCCTTGGGGTACAAGGCCAGGAATCAGAGGACACCTTCCGTGTGCCTCTTTGATTCCTTATTTATTTCATCTAACGTGAACAACTGCTTGTCAGCAAATGGATTTCGTTTGTTAATAACACAGGTTACAAACTTCAGAAGGTAGGACATGGGCAAGTAGCATGCTCCCTTTGATCTCTGCATCTCAGACATTGTGTCCATGCATGTAGCAGAAATGCAACAGGAGAAAATACCCAGATTTTGGCAAAAAGTATTTATGCTTTAACCTAAGTTACTTAGCAAAAGCAGAGTTCTGAGGAGAAGTCAAAAGCAGCTCGTCCTGAGGCAGCAGAGCCCCTACCTGTGCTTGTATACACACTGCTTTAACACTGCAGGCTGCAAGTCCCCAGGTCTAGTCCCCCGTTTGTGAGCCTTCAGGGCCTCTGTCACTGAGAGGCCAAGGAGTCCCACGTGATGTCATGGGGTGGCCCTGTTCTTGCACCCAGGCTTATACACCGCTCCGATCACCTCTGTGTTCCAGCATACTGCATGTGTGGTTCGTGACCCACATGCTGCAGCGCCACAGGCGCTTCCAAGGCTGCTCCCCCAGTTCTGCTCTTTGGAGCAGCTGTGCCAGTGGGAACTGCATGCTGTATTGGCTTAGTCTAGGGGCCTCGCTGTGTTTTAATTCTTAAAGTTGCAAGGCTATAGCATGGTGAAGGGCCTGTCACCACTCTTCATTCGCACCTGCATCTCAGGCCCTGTTGGCCATGCCGGTTGACTGTGCCATTCTTCTCTTGAGCTGCAAGGTATCTGAACGGCCCACAGATGCCTCCTCATCATTCTGTGGAATGCATGCCAGACATGCCTACATGTGCCTGAATTCCTGTGGTGGATGTCATTCAACTCCTCTTCATAAGTTGG